TGTCTATCTATAGGTCTATCTATCTATCTATCTATCTATCTATCTATAGGTCTGTATTTCTGTATATAGGTCTATCTATAGGTCTATTTATCTATTGTTCTATCTATCTATAGGTCTATCTATCTATCTACAGGTCTATCTATAGGTCTACCTATCTATCTATAGGTCTGTCTTTCTGTATATCTATAGGTCTATCTATCTATAGGTCTGTCTTTCTGTCTATCTGTAGGCATATCTATCTATCTATCTATAGGTCTATCTACAGGTCTATCTATCTACATGTCTATTTATCTATCTATCTATATATATATAGGTATATTTATTTATCTATCTATCTATCTATAGGTCTATCTATCTATCTATCTATCTGTCTATCTATCTATCTGTCTATAGGTCTGTCTTTCTGTATATCTATAGGTCTATCTATCTATAGGTCTGTGTTTCTGTCTACCTATAGGTCTTTCTGTCTATGTATAGGTCTTTCTATCTATCTATAGGTCTATCTATCTATCTATAGGTCTATTTATCTATCTATCTATAGGTCTATCTATCTATCTATCTATCTATCTATCTATCTATCTATAGGTCTATCTGTCTATAGGTCTGTCTATCTATCTATAGGTCTCCATTTATAGGTCAATCTATAGGTCTATCTATCTAAAGATAGACATCTAACATGCTAGTAACATCCTAAACCATTAGCAGTGTGTTAAAAACATGGTAGCAATGTAATAAACCATGCTAGAAACATTTTAGCAAAAACATGCAAAAAAATGTTTTTGGTCAAACTTTACTCTCTGGTTTCATATTGCCTCTCTATATTTGTAACTAATATGTTTTTGCGTGTGTGTGTGTGTACAGGTTGCTTTAGTAAAGATCAGGTCTACCTTGATGGAATTTTAAGGATTTTACGCCACAGGAGGAACATTGATTTTAAGATATTAACCGCTCTTGGAAAGGTAGGTCTTATTAATGCTAACTGTTTTAATGCAATATTCCAACTATCCCTTTAAGGATGTTTATACATACCACTTTCTGTAACTCCTGTTTTTAGGTTTCCTATGAGGATGCGGAGAGACTCCGGCATTTGGCAGTTCTAAAGAGAACCAGGATTCCTCACTTCATGCAGGACGAAGAGCGTTATCTTCAACACCTCGACCACATTGTCACCGTGAATGAACTGAGTGATGCCGAGCTTCAAGAGCTCATTCCATGAAGATCTGGACCGGACACCATTTACAAACCACCAAACCATTTAATCAATCGTTTCCAAAAATCATAAAAAAATAAAAATAAAAAAAAAGGTCTGATTTTTAAAACATACGATTGATATAATCTTGGATGGTTTATCATGAAAACGTAATTCATGATGATCATCCATAAAAATGTAAAAAGTATTACATACAGCATGGTTGTGTCCAATGATTGATGTAGTAATTTGTTACATCAAGTGCCATATTACTCAGCAAGTCTGTTTACAAATACAATGATTGTCTGTTTTGTAAAAACGACATGAATCTCAGGCATGAAAGACATGTTTAGATTCTCGCAAACCGAAGGTATGTTCAGAATAGCATACTACCATACTCACTATTTTTGTAGTGTACTGTGCACTAGATCTGCGTGATTCTGGATGAATTGATATTCACAATCTTTTGTTTAAAATAGAGATTACGATTCTCCCACGATTCTGAATAGACAACTAAAAAAATTACATAATTTACTAGAATGCAGTTAATTATAAATAAACTAAATTAAATTTTTTAATCGGGTTGAGTGAATGATTCAATGACTCACTCACTTGTTTCATTACTGGATGATTCAGTGTTTTTAAACAAATCTCTTGAATGAATGATTCCATGATAAACGCATATTTTTTAACAGTCACGCGTCGCCACCTACTGGTGTAACGATGTACTGATAATCTTTATTTGAAGCGTTAATTACTGATTTTGATCACTAACATCGGCATCAGTGTTTATATCCGACCTTTAAACATTTCTGTCATAATTTGAATTATTGTAAGACAGAAATAATGATACTGTGTGGTTGAAAAGACTTGTCAAAGGTTTAATAGACATTAAATCGAGATCTTTTAACGATGAATCGTGCAGCTCTACTGTGCACAGTATGCACATTTTCTGAATGCATGTAATACTGTATATGAAGGATGTAGTACATTATGCTAAAATGTGCAGTATACAGTCAGAACTGTAATGCAAGGGGCTTGACTTGACCCTGTTTTCAGTGTTATGACTGAACTGTCGTTTCTTTCTTGATTCATTAGTTGATCAGACTGAACAAAATAGGATAATGCAACTGCATAAAGTCCTAATTATTTCAACGGGATGTTACGTGCCGATTTAAACGTACAATGTAGAGATCATCGAACGCAACACCTATTGCATTGCATACGGTTTTAATATTCCACTCGAACGCCGCCATACTCGTGAGAAGCTGAAAGATGGTCATGTAGCATTTTAATTGCATTCTATCATGCTAGCTAGCATTTATATCACACACACACAAGGCAGAACTATATCAGCACTTATAAATAATCCACCGACAGTATTTATATAGGAATTCAAACATGAACCTATGAGCACTTCATTGAGGTTCTTCTACTAATGAATTCCTTTTATTTATGTATTTATTATTTGCTTACTTCTTGTATTCACGTTAAGCACTGAATGTCTGTGGTATTAGCTTTACACGCAGTAGCAAATGCATTTTTTCAACTTAGTAGGCCTATAGACATTATGTGCCAGAGAAACAAGATTTTTGGAATTTTGTCTTTTTACTTGAAGAGTAATTAGCTGGTGAAGTGGATTTACTTATTGTAGAGTTAAGGAAAGTTATCATGAGTATTGTAATGTTTGAAGCAGATGTCACGAATAGAGAGGGAAGATTTTAAAAACCGAGCGGTTCGTTCGAAAATTTGTAAGATCTTACCTTCACGCTGTGGAAATACAAACCGGAAGACAAGGTCAGCAAGGCTCACTCAGTTCCACAATCGCTTATGAATTAAAATAAGAATGGCCTCCTTTGTCACTTTTTTTATTTGTAATCAGGGCTTATGAAGTATTGTATCTACAGATAATCAGTGTTCTTCTGAGAGCACCCTCGTGGTCTTCATTCCCCGTGCTAATGTGACGTGACACCGTCGTAGGTAACCTCAGCCTTTCGTACCTGTGTAAAGCAGTCCAGCTGGCCAGCTTCCTCACTGTGCATGTTAAGATTGTGACGGACTCAGGAAGAATAATGGGAGGTCATGTGGATGTGCCTTATATGGGTTCAAAACTCATGTGTCGTGTCATGTTATATGCTTGAAATTACATATCCATTTGTATTTATTATCATTGTCAGTACTGCACGAATATTGCACATTTCACAATAAGTTGTTGTTATCTTATTAAACTTATTCACTGAAGACCCTAGAATCATTGTCTGAGTGCTGAATTTTAAGTACAACATATTCAACTTTCACTATTTTAAAGATATGCCGTTTTACAAAGTCTTGATTTTGTTTTTGGGCTCTACTGGAATAGGTATTCATGCTTGAATGTTCAAAAAAAAAAAATATTTCTCATATATTTGACATTGTTGCAGCTCTTCCCAGTAATGCGTTTCCCGTACAACGACGTAACTCGCTGCTGAACTACCATCGCACGATGCATCATTGAAGTAATCAAGTCGATAGTCACGACTGTTTCCCAGAAACCTAGTCGCAAATTTGTCATTTAACCACGTTGGTTAATGATGTCACGCAGGTGGTGTAGTAATTTATTTTCAAGTGCCCCTGTAATCAATAATATTATCTCTTAAATATCATCTTTGAACACCAAAATTACATATTTAAATGATTTTTGCTTTGAAAACAAAAATTCTTCATGCCTTATAATAGCTTGAATGTAACTCGACACCCTTGCCTCATTTAGTATTCGCAGCTCTATGAATATGCAAATGAGCCCTGCCTCCACTCACTCACTCAGCTCAGAGATCCACTGGTTGACGATCACACGTTGATCTGATTGGTTACAAGGTCGTTTGTGACGTCAGAAACACCAGCGATTTCAAAGCGTGTTTTTGAGACTTTCTTTGGTTCACTGCAGTTTTAAGCAGAAAATACTCAGCAATGCTGTCGACTTATGAATTTACACATGGTTTGTCTTAAAGCACATTAAAAACACCAGATGGACACATACACTACATTAAAAACTTGATTTACACCACAGGGGGACATTAATGAATCCGTTTTGAGATCGAATTAATGCCAGATTTTTTGCAAAACATTACAGACATGGCATCTGAGGACTATTTCTCACTTGTTTCTTTACTTCCAGATTCAATCATATACTCGTACTAGAGCACGTACGCAATCTTCAAAAACGGTGCTTTAAATCTCTTGACAATCTAAATTACGTAAATTACATTTATATGTATTCGAAATAAAATATATATAGTACTGAATCTGCTTCTAACCACAGGTCGAGCGCTGTCGTTCCAACCACACAACTTGGCGATGTTGTTTGCGAAAGTTTGTTGGAACAATTTTTTCCGGAAACATCGACTCGTTGAAAAATGCTGATAATGATGGAACTTGCGACCATATTTGGCTAACGATCCTTTCGGGAAAGTTCCTCTATGAAGCCCCTCCTCCTTCTGAAAAGCACACTGTGCTCTGATTGGTCGGCTGGATCAGTGTGTTGTGATTGGTCGAGCGCTTTGAGAGCCCCGCCCCTTACCATAACCGCCAGTTTTAACACACTACTAACAAACTCAACCAAGCCCCGCCCCTTTATTCTGCGTATTAAATATTTAAATGAGGAATATTGTGACGTGTTTGTTCCCGGAAAAAACTCAAGACTACAATAGATGCGTTTCAGGGAGTTCACAAACACTGACACTGATATAGAGAATAACTGCCTTTCACGTAATCATTCACAGCTGATGATCACAAAGTTATGATGGTGGGTAAAAAAAAAAACAGGTCAGACTGATTAAAAACAGTTTCATTTAATATATCTTATTTTCAATAAATTGCAGTAAAGCCTCCATACCCGACAATACTATAGTTTATAATCTGAGCTCATATCAGCAGGGCAAGTCATTGAACAACACAATCTTCCAGAACATAATGCAACCAGGATCGGGAGCCTCCATCAATCATCTACAGCCTGAGAATCATGGGGAAAGAGCAGGCATTCTTTCCCTCTCATTATATTATAGCTTAATTCAGTGTTGATCCAAAAATGAAATGGAGATGTTCAACTCAAAGGAGGGAAGATTAGGGGGGAAAAAAACACCAGTTTGGTACCTAGATAACGATGGCAAGCAGCACTAATACAAAGTGAATGTAAGAGAAGGACTACAGCCCATTGTGTTCATTCTGTACAAGTCTTGTGTTGCTTAATAACTTCTTGCTCCAGTAAACTGAAGCTTCACACCTGAAAGGCAGCATGTCTCTGCACGACATGTTGAGGTAAAAAGGTTTTCCTAGAAGAAAGATTCTAAATTAATGAATGATATCAGTAAAAAAACTAAACATTTTAGATGAGGCACAAATACAGTGTACTGGATGTAGGGGTGTGCGATATTTATAGTGTACGATAATATGCTGTTTTAATGATGAGCGATCTGTCATTATCGACACACCTGGCGCACGCGTTCACTGCATGATTATAAATCTATAAAAATGCATTAATAATGCCCTCAATATTCAAGATAAGGGGGCAAAAATAGATAGAAATAGTGTCTTTTAGATTTTAGATGATTACAAATGTGATATTGGTTTTATACAACATTTCAATAACCAGTAATTTAATATTAAGCAACTTACATTTTAGACACAATATTGCCTGTTTTTGCTCCATTTTGCCAACGAAAATACTTCTAAACAAAACCACAGGACTGATGTGTGTCTCTGAGCAACACACGGCTGTTTCTTTACTGAACGAAAGAATCGTTTGAATGAATGATTCAATGACTCATTAAGAACGAATCAGTAGCTTGAATGAATCTCAATGACTCCTACCTACTGGCAGTTTTAATTTCACATTTAAAGTATATTTCATTTCAAAATATCAATATTCAACGTTTAAAACGTCCAAACATTATTCATGCATTTATAACAGCAGGTTAAACGCATTCATGTCCCTCTGATCTGAATTAAACAGTGTAAATGCATCTAAACGCCACTTCAGATGCAGCTTCTGTGTTTCCTCTGCATCGCAAATATGAATTTTGTTGATACTGATTTCATATGATTGGTAACAGCCCTATGGTATCTTATTATGTAAGAATTTGACACAAAAGATGATGCATCTATTTAATTAGGTTAAAAATGGCTTTATAAAAGGTACAAATCTATTGGAAAATATGATTTTCGTCACTGCTATGAACTGACCACAACACAAAACGTGACAAAGAATATCAAAAACTTGCTAACCCTGCTGAGGTACCAACACAATAAACACACTCAGCAAAATATTGTCCAATAATTAAGAAAATATAAAAAATTAGAGAATATTTCGAGATATCATGTTTTGTCTCAATATCGCACACCCCTAACCGGATGTTACATCGTTCTTACCTGCTTTTAGCCCATCATGTTGTGGTCGAGCTGCTTATTGCCAGAGCGCCTTCTGAGTTTGACGGAGGCTGTCCCTTCAGCACAGGATCTATAGGAGAACGCAACATCTTTAGGAGACGAGAATAATGAAACTAGGGATATGTAGGTGATATACAGTGGTTGGACAATGAAACTGAAACACTGGCACATATAGTGTTGGAGGTTCCATGCCTATATATGTGCCAATCTTCACTGATTTTACACTCCATCATAGCTTTACAATAAAATATTGCAATCCACACACATATCAGAGTTCAAAAGAGGACAAATTGTTGGTGGATCAGAGCCTGGGAAAACCCAGACAACTTCCGGCAAATTTAGATTTGCTCTGAAAGTTAGTCTGGCAAAGAGCTCATTCAAGCCCATTTCCAATCCGTCGAAATCGAGGCACCAATCAGAAACGTTGGGGCGGGCTTTACACGATGACGACAGCGCTGGGATTTGTAGCCTACATTACAAAGATGGATGCCGCCGTCGAACATCACTCGTTCGAATCAGCTATCGCGTCTGTTTTAAGTGATTTGAACGTTTCCTTTTTGTTAAAAACCGAGCAAAGAACAACACTCGGAGATGTTTCTCCGCCGCTCTGCATACGTCATCTCCTTCATCGCTCTGATTGGGTTTAGGTCTATCCGCGACGTCCGTTGGTGACGCTCCTCTGGAAATGATTTGTCTATGACGCTTTGCCAGACCATAACTCAGTTACAACTGAGAATGGTCTGGTTTTAACCAGGCTAGGTGGATCAGTGATGTTTATATCAATATCATGGCATTCCCTATTTTGTAATAACAAATGATCATTTCGACGGAACTGAATCAATCAAAACTAACTTTAGCTGGAAAATAACATAATTCAAAAACCGCTATAAAACCAAACCAATCTCTGTTACCTTAAATTATATGTTTACCTCTGTAAAGCTGTTTCGAAACTATCTACATTGTTAAAAGCGCTATATAAATGAAGATGACTTGACTATTTTGCTTGATGGTCGTGTCAAAGCCAAGGATTACTGAACCATTGTGGAGAACCATGTGCACCTAACGGTTCAAACATTGTACATGAGTGTCGTGTATCAGCATGATAATGCACCAATACACCGCAAGACTTGTGACAGAATGGTTTGATGAACATAAAAAGTGAAGTTGAACATCCCACATGGCCTGCAGTCACCAGATCTGAATATTATTAAGCCGCTTGTCAGAAAAGTTTCCTCCATCAGCATTACGTAACGACTTGGCTGCTGTTCTGGAGGAAGAACGGCTCAAGATCCCTCTGGCCACTGTGAAGGACTTGTTTCTATCATTCCCAAGATGAAATGATGCTGTAAAAGGAGGCCGTACAACATACTAATAAATCATTGTGGTCTAAAACCAGGTGTTTCACTTTCATTGTCAGACCCTTATATGCTGGTAGCATGTTAAAAAAATGGTCTCAATATGATGAATATGACTAATGAATGCAGAAAAAAAAATTTCCTAGTGGTTTTCAATGAGTGATTTCACTTGATGCAGGATTATATAAACTGTCCGGCCAAAAAAAAAAAGAAAAAAAAAAAAAAAAAGTGGCTGTATTGGATTTAAATCATTTTTAAGAGTTTATGATTGGATCATTATTGCAGTGATTATTATGTTTCTAGCATGTTATACGTTTATAACCCTAATTGATGGAGTGTGTAGCTTTTAATTTCTTAAACAACCATGTATGAAAAACATCATAACCATATTCCAGGATGATAATGTCAAGATTCATCAGGTTCAAACTGTGAAAGAACGGTTGTGAGGAGCATGAAGAGTCATTTCCACACATGAATCGGCTCCTTAAACTCATTGAAAGTCTTTGGGATGTTCTGGAGGAGACTTACAGAGGGCTGGACTCTTGCACTGGCAATACAAGATCTTGAACAAAGACTGATGCACCTCATGATGGGAAAAACATCACAGCATTTATTTCCACCAAGAGGTGCATCTCTATATACATATATTAACTTGAGAAATGAATAAATCACAGTAAAGAAAGAAAGTTGGCTCACAAAAGTAGGGGTGCTCCATGGCTTCTTGGGCAGTCAATCTCTGTTGATGATCGTAACGCAGGAGTTTATCCAGCAAATCCAGAGCTTCTGGGCTCACCAAGTGCTGATTCTCTGGCTGAACAAAGTTCTCCCAGCGCTTGCGTGTCTGCCTGAAGATGTAGGCGATTTCAAGATTAAAACAGTCTAGCAATTAAAAGTAGATACAGAAAATGTATAGATGCGTGTATCAATCTGCAATTGGTGATGGCATCTGAAAATATCGGGCCGAATAAATGCATGGATGGGCGAAATCACTGACCAAAGCGGTGACGCTTCGACAGCAAACGGATCAAAACTAGCACACAAACATGGATAAGCTACAACTTATAGCCATGGACTTATATACTTATAACTTATATAAGGACCAGCCCTCTGTGGACACGGGCTCAGCTTCTCGTTTATAATCCATCTTCATTTGGATGAACCAAGATCTTTTAATCAATGCTGTTTTCTATGGAAGCTTGTTTCCGCCACAGAATAAAACATTTTAAAAGACAATTGCGACTTTTTATCTCACAATTGCGACTTTATATCACGCAATTCGGACTTTTTTTCTCGCAATTACGAGTTTATATCTCGCAATTCTGACATCTTTTCTCACAATTGTGGCATATAGCTAAACTCAATTGCGAGTTATAAATTCCAATTCTAAGGAAAAATGACTTTATCTCTCACAATTCTGACTTTATAACACACAATTGGGAGTTATAAAGTCAGAATTGCGAGTTTATTTCTCGCAATTGCAAATTTATATCTCTCAATTCTGACTATATAACAAAATTGTGACTTTATAACTCGCAAATCTGAGATACAAAGTCAGAATTGTGAGATCAAAAGTCGCAAGTACCTTTTTTATTCTGTGGCGGAAACAAGCTTCCATAGTTTTCAGCTAATGCGTGAAGTTCGTGAACAAAACTTCATTAAATATTACGTGTAGCTCACTTAATCAAAATCTGCATTGGAGCTTTTGTGTGTAAACAGATTTTTTTCGAAAGCAAGCAAAAACAAGATTGTTTATAAAATCAGCCATCCGAACGATTACTGATCATAGCAGCTAAATGAGTGGTTGTCACAGAAATCTACATTTCTATATGTGCATCACCAACTCATACGAAGATCCTCAAAATGTGGCCAATCTAGATAACGAAGACTCACTGGCCAAGCAGATCTTTGAAGCGCGTGTCCAGCTCGATGTGATACTTGTTCAGGTAGCTGAATAGCTCTTCTGTTCCCAGAACCTTGGCAATTCTGACCAACTGCAGCAAAGATTATTCGGTTAGCATACTGTATATTTTAAGACTACATACTGCAACAGTTTTCATTGAAGAATGACAAGTCATACCTGGTCATAGTTGTCTTGACCATGGAAAAATGGCTCTTTCTGGAAGATCATACTGGCTAACATACAGCCCAAGCTCCACATGTCCAGACTGTAGTCATACATCTGCAAATCATTTTGGAGATTTAACTGCAATGTCTGATGGTAATGTGGGAATATATTGCATGGTTGCACTTTCTCCCATTCATAGTATGAGTGAGTATAATATGAGTGCACCATCTTTGTAATTCTTAAAGTCCTCCTGTGGTGAATATCCAGCTTTTAATGTTGTTTATATGTCTATGTGGTGTTTTTAATATGCTTTAAGACAAACCATGTGTAAATTCATAAGTCGACAGCATTGCTGAGTATTTTCTCCTTAAAACTGCAGTGAACCAAAGACAGTCTCAAAAACACGCTTTGAAATCGCTGGTGTTTCTGACGTCACAAACGACCTTGTAACCAATCAGATCAACGTGTGATCGTCAACCAGTGGATCTCTGAGCTGAGTGAGTGCAGGCGGGGCTCATTTGCATATTCATAGAACCGTGAATACTAAATGAGCCAAGGGTGTCGAGTTACATTCAAGCTATTTTTAAGGCATGGCGATTTTTTTCAAGGAAAAAACGTATAAATATGTCATTTTGGTGATCAAAGATGATTTTTAAGGGATATAATTATTGACTACGGGGGACTTTAAGTCTTTGATATAACATAGCGAATCACACAACATACCTGATAGTCAACCAGCAGCTCTGGTCCCTTATATGATCTTGAGGCGACCCTAACGTTGTAATCCTGTGCAGGGTGGTAGAACTCAGCAAGACCCCAATCTATAAGCCGCAACTACACCACGTACAAATAAAAAGACAAGCAAACTTACATCAGGTCACCAACACTGATCAACACATTCAAAAGCAAATCCACAACGCTGGTATCTGACTTCACCTTTCTCATTTGGTGGTCTATCATGACATTGTGAGGTTTGACATCCCGATGCATGATGCCCATGCTATGAGAGTAGTCCAGCGCCTGCAAAGAGAGAAAGCACACGCTTAACACACTCTCCTGTTGAAAACACACAAAAGCGTAATCTTATTTCAGCATGCTCACCTTGAGAAGTTCATACAAGTAAAAACGGATATCAAAGTCTGTTAGTCTCTGATAGAGATCCTAAAAAAATCAGAACAACATCATGTGAGACATTTAGACGGATGAGCAACTGTTTGGATAAATGTATTGACAGAAAACTAATCATTGTTACATATCTACAATTACAATCTAGCAATCTTCAACAAATGCCTAATAGCAGGCACTGAATGAACGTTAACATTAACATAACTTTCAACACACTCAAAAGTATTTTTAGTATGATTGTTCTGACCAAGTAAAACAGCGCTGCGTTTCCCCACAGTTTTAAATCAACAGATATTGCATAATTAATTATATTATTGTATAGTTAATGAAATGAGGATAAGGCACACAAAGTCTGTCGGCCTGAACTTTTGTTTCATAAATTTGTTTAGGCTTGGGATTTATAATAAATATTGTTTATATATTTTTTCTCAACACTGCAATTTTGTCCCGGTGCTACTTATTTTACAGAAAATACGGTAATTAAAGGTGCTATATGTAGTAGAGTTCTCAACGGGTCGGGTCAGCCCGACTGACCCGACGAGACCCGCGGGTTCGGGTCGAAAATATTTGCAAATGACTCGGGTCGGACCTCGGGCTTAATCTTTTGAATTGTATAGTGTAAGAAAAAAAAAACATTTATTATTCATCGCTGCTGTTCACTGTAAAGAAAGTCTGGCTGCTGCGTGCATCGCGACGCGAGGGCAGACCTGACGCCGCTGCGTGCACGCCTTTAGCCCGGAGAAGAAGATGGAGTTGGTGAAAAGTAAACTTGCTGCAGGTGAAATCACCGTTGCTCAGGGGCGGCGCAACACGTTGTGTGACTCTCTCTCTCTCTCTCTCTCTCTCTCTCTCTCTCTCTCTCTCTCTCTCTCTCTCTCTCTCTCTCTCTCTCTCTCTCTCTCTCTCTCTCTCTCTCTCTCTCTCTCTCTCTCTCTCTCTCTCTCTCTCTCTCTCTCTCTCTCTCTCTCTCTCTCTCTCTCTCTCTCTCTCTCTCTCTCTCTCTCTCTCAGCAGTCATAGAATACATTCTATTCTACATACATCACTCACCGATCAAAAGGGTGGCGTCGGGCCGCGGGTCGGGTTCGGGCAGATAATTCATGTTGATGTGTCGGGTTACATCGGGTCCGGGCTTTAAAAGCCACGGGCCGGGTCGGGTTGTAATTTTCAGGCCCGTTGAGAACTCTAATATGTAGTTTTTAGCGGCCTCTAGCGGTGATGTTTCAGATTGCAACAAGAGCGCTCGTGCTCGAACTTCATGTAAACTCCCACTGCAACGTTACAATAATAGGCTACTTTTATCAGCCTGACGTTGAACTAATACTCCATGCTCGTACCATGATAACGTTACATTGACTGCATTTAGCCGACATGGTGTTATCTAGCATAAGGCATTTCACTACCTATTCGTGTATCTAAAACAAAGCGGAGGTCTCTCCATAATTCAAACGCTCTGCCGATGTTGATCGTGTTTTCGTCCCGAGTCGATCTGATTGACGTTTGGCCTGACGAGCTTTAGCAGATAAAACTTTTTTTTGTTTTTTATATTTATGTGGAGTTTGTGTTGTGCTGGAGGCAGGTCGTTTTTGGGTGTTATCAGACTCCATGTCGTCAGCTGCAGTGCCGTCGCATAGACTGTATATAAGGAGAGAGGCTCGGGAGCCCGCATGCACGTCACATCCGATGGATTTCACAGAAAATCCGACCCGGAGACTTCACATAGAAATAGGAATACTGGCCTTCAGAGGTAATAGCAAAACCCGACAAGTGGGTCATTGTAATGTGTGATTACAACCCCTTCACACACAGGCAATAAAAAAGGGATTCATTTTAGAAGAAAAGTTACATATAGCACCTTTAAACTATAAAAATTTTAAATTACAATATACATATTTTTTTATAAATAATAAACTTATCTAATAACAAAAACTAATAATCAAACTATTTTATTTGTTTACCCGCATGTCATGTGACCTTTAACTGACATCAGAGAACAGTGAATGTGCTGTTAAATTCTTGCAATATTAACTTAAAGTCAATCAAGATATCAAGCAATTGAAAATCCTCAGTTTGATAGTTTTAGTAATTAAAAGTGGTACCTTGAAATCCGTGTTATTGATGTACTCAAACACAAGGGCTGGCGTCCTAGACTGTGGAATACCAAAACAGAAAGAAAAAAAGAAAGAAAGGGGGTAAAAAAACACTTAAACAGATAAAAATATATATATATAAATCAATGCAAATTTAAGCTGGAATGCAGACACTCAAAAATAGTTGGTTTCCTTTATTAAGCATTTTGTCAACCTTAATATTATAATTGGACTGCCGATTCTGGAATGGATTTAAATATCATACAACAGTTGTGTCCCAAAGGAGGACACACTATACATTACGCACCATGTACCTCCATCGTCTAGTACGAGTTTATTTTGTCATTCAACACTGGATTCTGAAGTGTTCAACATACCACACTTTGTTTTTCTCAGTTAAATAAGTGCATCAACTACATTTTCTTTTTGGAATTTTTAACGTTGAAACACGATTCACACATTATACTACAACATTACATAGTATTAGGACTGTCAAAATTGCTCAAAAATGACGTTCGAATATTCCCTCTAAAAAAAAACCCATATATTCAAACTATTTGAATATCTGGTTGCGCATTTTGTCAATGACGCGCATTACGTTAATAACAGGACAAATTAATACAAAGAGACACAACTACTTGTATAGGTAGTTTATTTAAGTTTAAACATATTTGACAACGTATTAACTTACACAAAACCAAGTAAATCAACTAATGGCCAAGACCGCAGACCTTACTCTCGCTCGCACTCGCCGGCACTCTCTCTCTCTCTCGCCCTCATGCTCTCTGCGCATAACGGTTTAAATGAACAACAATAAACAAATGTAGAGTGCTGATCAAGAGTTTAGTGCAAGCAATTTAAGGTCGCGACTCTTGTCCTAAATATAGCAGGCTTCATTCGGTGATTGAAACAAATATTCAGACCTGCAAACTCCTCAGAGTAAAAAAGGTGACAGTGCTGCGGGTGGGGGGGTGGGGGGGGGGCTCGCCGCTCAGTTGCTAGGATAGTTGCTACAATGTTGTACATGATTGCATACGAGCCAACAACAATGTCTTAACGATGTTGTGGAGCTGCAATATGGCTTCTATATGTAAGCAATATGGTTGCTAGGTAGCTTTAAACGGTTGCTAGGGTGTGGTTACACAGTTACATGTTGTTCTGGATGAACACTATCCTGTATATAATTATCATAGGATTGGCAAAGGAGAAAAAAGGCAGTAAAATATAAATGAACCATGATGAGCAATACATTTGTTACTCTATTTATTATTCTTTGTTAATAAAAATACAGCTGTTCGTTGTTTGTTCACATAACTTCACAGTGCATTAGGCTAACTGATGTTAACAAATAGAACTTTTAATTGTAATAAGGCTACTAGTAAATAGTGAAATTAACATTATCAAAGATTAATAAATGCTATTTATTTATAAAGATTAAGAAGTGCAGTTTATGAATAGTTAATATTAACTAGTTTGGTGTTATCGATTTGTTATACACCGATTCAGATCTCTTTTGAAGAGACAGATGTTGGACAGATCAGTTATTTTAACCATTCATAAAAGTGAATCGGTTCAAATGAGTCATTAGTTCGCGAATCGGACGTGCCATTAGCTGACACACACGGCACGCGTTGTGTGATTATCCTAGCAGATAAGGACTAAAGGACATCGCACAAGATTTGTGTCTACACAGAAAACATTTAATCACTGGATAGGTTTTTTGTTTATTCAAAATGTGGTTTATGTCAGCTGAATGTGCGGAACGCTTTTCAGAGAGGATAGGGCAATTTTAGTAGGCTACAATTCACACCTAGCGGTAATTCAGGAAAAATAATCTCTGAAAATGCTCCACGTGAAACTTTGGTCTTTTGATCTTTTACTATCGTATCAATTCTCAATAGATTTTGATTAATATGCGCGATGAAGGGAGAGCAAGGCAGTTTGAATACAGTGAGTGCGCGCGCGCGACCGGCTCTCTCTATGCTCGTTCTTTCAGCGCCCTGTCACGAGCACAGCATAACAAAGTGGTAGCTAACGTTAATTGAATCAAGCAAACAACTAGATGTTGTTTTTGCTCCAAAAAAAGTTTGATTTACCTCGAATTTCACATAAGATTCCTTCACGTTATGAGTTTCCATCAGACTCTCGTGGTCTAGCCAGGTATCTCATCGATTCTGACGCAAGTGCTAAGATTCCGATTGGCCAAGAGAAAAAGTACTAAGATTCCGATTGGCCAAGAGAAAAAGAACTAAGATTCCGATTGGCCCAGAGAAATGTCAATTATAAGAAGTATCCAATAATGTTTCGCAATTCTAGCCTGCCTGCCTGCATGCAGATGAAGCGTAGCCTACCCTATGCTGTGGTAAACTCATGGGTAAAATGCTGCTACTATGGCTATTTCGAGGGCGTCTGGCCACGCCCCCATTGGCGGGCTCTGACGTGTCTGATGTAATGCTAGCTCATTGGCGCACACGTTGGAGGCGCCCGTGCCATTGGATGTGCAGTTGACGCAGCACAGCCAATGAGTGAGCCAGACACTCACTGTGCTATCTGTCTGTGCAGCTGGAAAATGCGTTTTACATTTTAAGCTTCAGAATTTTGCCACTCGCAAAGCAGACAGCCGCGCCTCTGCTACCGCGGGCGTGTTTTTCCACATGATTCGAATATTAATTTTCACCTTCGAATTTCTGTTTTTTTAAAACTATTCGAATATATATTCGAATTTAGAATATTCGTTGACAGCCCTACATAGTATAGAGCAAAGATAACACTCCGAATGTGTTAAATAGAGCTGAGAATACTAAACTCTTACTGGGAGATAAAAGCCTTATAAAATTTGGCAAAATATTTAACCCTCTGGTGCTGTTCGTTGTATGTTTTGGTTTTTTAGAATTTTTTTTTACTTCATCGGAAAGGTACGAAACTTTTCGGCACTTGCTATGTGAAAAAAAAAAAAAAAAAAAAAAAATAATGGACATGATTCGAAAAGGTTAAATGGTCCTGAAAAAAAAAAAGAGTCACTTGTATTATTTGCGGTCGGCCGCATTGGAAATGAATGGAAGACGAATTTCGTCTAGTGGAAACGTTTGGTACTGCGCACAAATAAATCTTACTGAAAGCTCATTTGTTTAGATATCAACCTCAAATTTGGACTTGTTTAGATTTATGGCTTTGATTTTCTCACAGTTTTAGAGTAAAACATGTCTTGGAAATAATTCATTTAATTTAATTTATTGCATTTTTCTAAATTATAACCTTAAAGTTCTATAACTTTTGTTTAATTTCACTTTTTTAACTTTAAAAAAATAATCTGCCCAAGTGTAATCTTTAAAAAGAGACCAAACTTCAGTCTGTGCTCCAAAGCATTTAAGATTTACGACAGTTTTAAGTTGCTCAAAAAGTGGTTAACGGGTCATAAATGAATCATACATTTTCCGTAAATATAGTTTAGTACCATAAAATCCCCTAAAAATACAAAATGTCAAATGAAAAACATTATCGCAGTAAAATATAGTACATTAATTTAATTGAAATTGTGATTTTTGACCGCCGCACGAGCAACAACAGAGGGTTAATAAAACGCTTTGCGAATCGTGTCACAAAATTTGATTGTAGCAAAATTTCTAGACAGTTTCTGTGTGGGCCTGCTGATAATATTATATATACATTTATTAAAATGATACAAAAACAGCATACAGTTGTGAGTAATTTAGCAAAAACAGAACTGTAGAGAACAGTTGCATATACTGAAAGAGCAAACTTTACCACAGGGTCCTTCACGGTGTCTACAAGACGAATGATGTTGGTTCCTCCTCGCAAGTTCTCCAGAATTTTGATCTCACGCTTAATCTTCTTCTTCTTAACAGGCTGCCAAGGTAAAGAATACAAATTTAAGGGTTAGCTTACACAATTTACATTCCAAGAAATTACTTTCACTCATCTATGAAACAAATTAGGATATTGTTTAATATTCTCTCATCATTTTTGTCCATCCACTGAAATTCTATGTATTCAACATTTTGAATCTAATCAAAAGCCAATCCATTTATTAACTGTTCCATTCAGTGCTGATCCGGCTCAGCCCGTACGGATATGGTTTCATATCCCTGATCGATTTATATGACGAATCACAAATGCTCGCCTTGCTCTGTTCTGTGATGCGCGTTCGTGACGTCACGTAATGCGCAATTACGTTGAAAAGGTCTCACAGAACAGAGCAAGGCAAGCATTTGTGCTTATAAAACTTAAACTTTTATATTTATTTTTTAAATGGCCGATCGTTTCGCTAGATAAGACCCTTATTCATCGTCTGGTATCATTTAAAGCAGCACTAAAACTGTCATTTGGACCTTGAACCGTTTGGACCCCATTGAAGTCCATTATATGGAGAAAAATCCTGGAATGTTTTCATCAAAAACCTTAATTTCTTTTCGCCTGAAAAAAGAAAGACATGGACATCCTGGATGACATGGGGGTGAGTAAATTATCAGCAAAAGTTTTTTTTAAAGTGAACTAATCCTTTAATTTAGCATTTTATTCACATATAAACATACATAAAGCACATTAAAGGGATACTCCACCAGTTTTTCTTATTAAACTATGTTATTCCCTTAACTAAGACGAGTTGATACATACCTCTCTCGTCTCAGTGCGTGCACTATATCGCTCTGTATTGCCGCAAAACTATGTTAGCACTTAGCTTAGCCCATGCATTAAATATGGGCCAAGCAGAGAAGCGACCAAACACTTCCACGTTTTCCCTATGTAAACACAGTTACTCGAGTAGTGTAACTTGACCTGGGCTGGTGACACAAAATAAACCGTTGCGCTTTTCTAAGCGTTTAAAATTGATGACTATATTGTATGGCGGAATACCATAACAAGTGCTTTTGAGCAGTTCGACTTGGCGCAATAATATCTTCACTAGTGAAAAGTCCTCTTACCGGCTCCCGCTTCCTCTCCCCCTCCCTCTGACATTTCCGTCAATACAACCAACGTGGCTTTTACTACCTGTGCTATTAGCAAACTGCAGATCATTTGCAATGGCGGACTTTGTAGATGATTATGACTTATTTGTAGAAGACCCAGAGCCATATCTGTTTGAACCCGAGTACACGGAGGAGGAATTAGCTCTTATGGACCGTGAGAGGAAAGAAAGATATGATCCAGAACAGACCGGAGCTGGCGAAAGACCACGGGCAAACAGCAATTGGTGGTGCAAGTGTGACTGTTGCGAACAGATGCCGACCGAAATTGAGAGCCTGTGCTGTTTAGAATGCTAACTAGCTTCCAACAACCTGTTACTTCGTCAACTCCGCTCGAACTACTACTACCGGCGCATGTCACGTTGGTTGTATTGACGGAAATGTCAGAGGGAGGGGGAGAGGAAGCGGGAGCCGGTAAGAGGACTTTTCACTAGTGAAGATATTATTGCGCCAAGTCGAACTGCTCAAAAGCACTTGTTATGGTATTCCGCCATACAATATAGTCATCAATTTTAAACGCTTAGAAAAGCGCAACGGTTTATTTTGTGTCACCAGCCCAGGTCAAGTTACACTACTCGAGTAACTGTGTTTACATAGGGAAAACGTGGAAGTGTTTGGTCGCTTCTCTGCTAGGCCCATATTTAATGCATGGGCTAAGCTAAGTGCTAACATAGTTTTGCGGCAATACAGAGCGATATAGTGCACGCACTGAGACGAGAGAGGTATGTATCAACTCGTCTTAGTTAAGGGAATAACATAGTTTAATAAGAAAAACTGGTGGAGTATCCCTTTAAATAGGGTAAACTCAGCTATGCATGTTTGCCCCACAAAAACAAATGTCATTTGCCTTTCTGTTTACCATATTTAATGTGCTCTCTATGCATGCGTGTTAATTACACAAACTTTCAATAGATGAATGTGTTTGGAACAACATGAGGGTGAGTAAATGATAACAAAACGTTTATTTTTGGGTGAACTATCTCTTTGCTTCTTCCTGATGTTCAGACAGTCACATGATGAGAGAGCAGGTGTTCTTACCTTCAGTATTTTAACAACTACTCTGTCGTTGCTGTTGATGTTGATGGCCTCAAACACCTCACTGTATTTGCCTCTTCCGAGCTTCCGTACGAGCTGGTAGTCATCCTGATTGCTGAATCAGAGCATGCAAGATATCAATAAAACTGTGCAAAATGACTTACACAAACATGAAAACATTTTAAACAAGTACTGTGGGGTAACAACCATGACTTTTTGACATATGATGAACAACATTCATGTTTTTGTCGACATTGAACCATGTTTTTTTGACATGGTACCAGAGCGTTTCAGACATATCATAGCGAGGGTATGGCAAGCCGTTTTACTTTTAATCATTCCCAGGATTAATATCAACAATTCAATTTTCACTCGCTAAAATTTCAACTAGTAAAACTATAATTCTTGAAATCTCTAATTGTATTTTCACTAGTTAAATGTCAATCAAATTCAATTGTTGATATCAAGAATTGATTTCATTCTTACTAGTTCAAATTCCAGTTTCATTCACATATCAGAAATACAATTCTTACAGGTAAAAATCATTATTGATATGAATAATTACTTTGTTAAAAGTAAAAATATAAATTCCTGATATCAACAACTCAACTTTCAGTTGAAATGTCAATTCTTTTGATATCTGTAAATGTATTTCAACATGTTACAATTGTTATTTCTGATATCAATAATTAGGAGGGTAATTTGACTAGTGACAAATGAAATTATTGATATCAAAAATGAACATTTTTCCTAGTAGCAATTCAATCGTTAATATAAAGAACTGACATTTTCACTAGTAACCACGTAATTATTTAAACCACCTAAAGATTTTTCTAGTAAGAATTATATTTCTGAAATGTGAAATTGTAATTTCAACTAGTAAGAAATCAAATATTAACTAGTAAAGTTAAACCACCTAAAGATATTTACTAGTAAGAATTATATTTCTGAAATGTGAAATTGTAATTTCAACTAGTAAGAAATCAATTATCAACAATTGAATTTAAATGACAGCCTATGGTGACATTTAACTAGTGAAAATACAATTACAGATATCAAGAATTATAGATTTTACTAGAAATTTAATTCTTGATATCAAGAATACTGACTAAATACATTCAAGCTACAGCCCTGGCTTTGGTAATATCTTTGAAAAACCATGTACTATGGTTCACGAACATGGTAGCCAATCAAGTACCATGCAATAGTAACACCACTGTACTTTTAGGGATGCTCTGATATGAACATTTTGGCCTATACCGATAACGGATAATTCTTTAGATTTGATAACCGATATATTGGCGGATAAATCTAAAACCAAATTTTGATTTAACTTTAGAAAGCCTGAGTACAAAAATAAAAGTCTCACCATTAAAAGCCATGTCCCAAGCACACAATTATAATGTTCTCATCATGGTTTTTATATAACCGATATGACAGACTTGCGCTGCACGTTGCACTTTCCTCTATTGTCCTTTTTTGAAGTGATTCCAGTCATATTTAAAGCAATTCAAAACCATCGTGTTGAACATCTGAAGTGTGTTAGCTTAATTATTTATCGGCTTTAATACATCGGCCCAATTTTATCGGGTCGATAACGATGAACTTATATCGACCGATACAGATATATCGTGCAGCATCCCTAACTTTTTCCAAAATTGCATTCACACTATCATCTCTGTACCTCCAGCTAGGCACATGTGCTTCATAGTCCCAGTATTCCTTGCTCTTCACAGTGTTGGCATCAGCATACACCCGTGCTTTACTGCTCACCGGACCGGGCATGGCGGGCTTGGCCAGTCGATACGCCTTCTTCCCTCCACCTACAACTACGAGACTCTCCAAACGACCGCAAGTCGACCGTCTCAGTCGTGAAACACTGCAGAAAGTATTATGGTACCCTAAAACACTGTAGCAAGCCGCTTCAATGCGATCTCTCGCGAGCAATTGTGATTGACAGCTGCTCAGCGGCGGCGCGCATGACCTCGCGCTGACGCTCGCGCCACTAAAAGCCAAAGCAAAAAGCAGAGAGCGTCCGAAACGGTGCAGAAACCAGTTTGTTTTCTGATGGACCGCCAGTTTATTAAAAAAAACTATAGTAAGGATTTCATGACCAGTCTAATCAGATATATCCGTTTGTAACGTTAAATACAATTAAAAACAATACCTGTCGAGCCCACCGAATGTAGCTATGCGGTTAAACGGAACATAAACAACGTGAAGCAGCCGAATTGATCGATTATCTTGGAGTGCGAACAACGTTTGATCATCACTGTTTATTATAATATTCATTACAGCGGTTCAGCAGCTTCACTTTAAAACCGTTCCCTCTGAATAACGGCGCTAAGCTAGCGATATCGATGGATGGCTTTAATTGGCCACTACCATTTCGACACGCGCGTCTCCAGATTTCCGATTAATCTTCAAAGTGAGAGTTTTAATTCCTCCCATTGATCCAGCAATTACACCCAGTAAGTGATCGAGGGATCCGCTGACAGGTAGGCGGATATCATCCCTAGAATAGCAACACTCCTGGCGAATTTTGCTATCGCTTCTTAGATGGAGTCACCGGAAATACTGTGGACTTCCGGTGCCTGTTTCAAAATAAAAGCCCCCGAATTGTAGCTGCCTGTGTCGCTTTCATAGGTCGCTTTATATTCATAACTGAATGTTTAAAATGTGGAATTCTAAACTTTGCTTTAACAATTATATTTTCGTTCTATAATTTGTTTGTATTGATTGTAAGTAGTGTCGTCAAAATGATTAATCGCAATTAATCACATCTAACATAAGTTTATATTTATATATATATATATATACCGGTATATATATGCATACAACGTTATGTACACACATATACATACATATATATTTTAATACTCTGTATATACACAAACATCTATAGACATATACATACATATTATATATACATACACACACATATGTGAACAAACTTTTATGTTAGACGCAATTAATAACAATTAATCAATTTGACAGCACTAAGTCGCACTAACACACCAAATGCCACATTACACTAGTTATAATACCTATACTGCATGTCGTATACAGAGTTGGACCTATTATATTACTAAGAACGTTTCGATTATATTTTGGGAGGAAAAAAACATCATATTGGTGTAACAATAACAAATATTAAAGTACCATGTAATTGTTTCAGTAAAAAAAAAAAAACATGAGTATATTAAAAATTAAGCTGAATTATTATTCCTACTATATTGCTCACTTTTAAATCAATGTTACATGGCCTGTAGTCATTTCACCATTAGGTTCACAAATAATTACAACGGGTTATCTATGTTTACAAACATTTAATTTGTAAATGCCTTGAAGTTATGACATGCCACACTTTTGTGATAATGGGGGGGGGGAACAACACATTATGGCATATTTACAACTCGAGTCTCTTCACTACCTTATCTAGAAACACAGACGTTTAAAGGGACATACAGGAGGTGCTAGATGGTGGAAAAACCTGTTTTTGCTCAAATACAAAAAAGAAATAAATTATTCGATTCAACATCAAGAATATTGCTTCACAAGCAATGACAACATTCAGTCTCTGCATTTAATAATGCACATGAAAATAAGAGTAACAGAACAAACAATACTGACACATAAGCCATTAACGTTAATAAGGCTTTCAGAGGCATCGAAAGGGAAAAATAAATGTTTGCAATGTTTACATTCAAGCTGTTAGGATCATACAATGTATCATTATTAATATGGATTTAATTACTATTTAGACACTGCATCGTAGGAGGTTTTTACTACTTGACTACTACTTAATACTGTGTTGGATACTTATTACCTGTATTTGTACACTTGAATTTGTTTCAAATGATTCAATTACAAAAGCTGCTGATTGCCTGCATTGTAATCCAAATCTGCATTTTTCTCTGCGGTTTAATAAAAAAAACAGGTTCTATTGTCAACTGATCCAATTAGGCAAGCACAAAATAAAATGCTAACTGATTTATGGCATATTGTTTCTAAAGCAGAAAGCAAACAAAGAATCCGTGGCAGAGAAACTGTACAAGTTGTCTGTGGCAAAAGAATAATCCACTAAAACAAAAACAACAACGTATCCTCAAAAGAGGAAACAATCACATACACACAGTCTACAGTATGAAGAAACACAAACAGATACTAAATCCTAGCACTGTACTCATGTCGAAGCGATACAAAACATCCATGTATATATATATAACTTTACAAATTCTACAGCATTGTTTAGCTAGCGCAACACCATATGTTTGCAATCCGCAAACAAAAATGCTTCATTGTTTTTCTCAGTTGCCTGGCAGTTAATAATTAACTGTAAATCTTTGTGCTACTGTAAATGTAACTGCTTGCAAACGTATTAGAGATGATTAGAAATGCACAAGAGAAAAAGAATGGCTAATATGTGTTTTTTTTTTGTGTGTAGTCATTTGCCTACAAGTTAGCATGACAGATTACAACAAACTGTATAAATTATTTAGGCTAATCATGCATACATATACCCTGTTACATCATGGGTTAGGTGATGGGAGTTATACATTACGAATACATACAATCACTACTGTATAATGTCCAGATGGCCACACAGTGTTCAAGTTCATGGAAGCATGATATGGAGAGCACTGGAAGGAAGGCAGTTAATTTGAAAGTTACAAGGCCAAATAATTAAAAAGAAACAGAAACATCTAGTTGCTGTCAATCGCACGGCGTACCAATTGAAGTCATTGTGGAAAAGCAGGTCACTGACATTCTCCTCTCGGATTACTAGATGTACTGGGTTTTAGATACTCAAACGACAACATTTCTCTGTTGGAAACACCAGTCTTAAGTATAATGAGTTGCACATGAGACAAAATTGTTCTTTTTTTACAAGCTTATTTATGAGTTGAGCCCATTTACGTGTTCGCTTCTGTTCGTCAGAGCGGCCGGGACATGAGGCAAAGTCTTGTAGAGTAGATGCGATGTTGCCAATCTCTAACACAGAGGTACATCAAGACTTTAAAGGGTTAGTTCACCCAAAAATGAAAATTAGCCCATGATGTACTCGCCCTCGAGTCATCCTAGATGTATATGACTTTCTTCTTTCAGACGAATACAATCAGGGTTATATTAATAAATGTCCTGGCTCTTCCAATCTTTATAATGGCAGTGAATGTTTCTGTTTTGAAGTCCATAAAAGTGCATCTATCCATCATAAAAATGCATAAAAGTGCATCTATCCATCATAAAAGTGCATCTATTCATCATACAAGAGATAGATGCACTTTTATGACGGATAGATGCACTTTTATGATGGATAGATGCACTTTTATGATGGATAGATGCACTTTTATCATGGATAGATGCACTTTTATGATGGATAGATGCACTTTTATGATGGATAGATGCACTTTTATGATGGATAGATCCACTTTTATCATGGATAGATCCACTTTTATCATGGATAGATCCACTTTTATCATGGATAGATCCACTTTTATCATGGATAGATCCACTTTTATCATGGATAGATCCACTTTTATCATGGATGGATCCACTTTTATCATGGATAGATGCACTTTTATCATGGATGGATCCACTTTTATGATGGATAGATGCACTTTTATCATGGATAGATCCACTTTTATCATGGATGGATCCACTTTTATGATGGATAGATGCACTTTTATCATGGATAGATGCACTTTTATCATGGATAGATGCACTTTTATGATGGATAGATGCACTTTTATCATCGATAGATGCACTTTTATCATGGATAGATCCACTTTTATCATGGATAGATCCACTTTTATCATGGATGGATCCACTTTTATCATGGATAGATGCACTTTTATCATGGATGGATCCACTTTTATGATGGATAGATGCACTTTTATCATGGATAGATCCACTTTTATCATGGATGGATGCACTTTTATGATGGATAGATGCACTTTTATGATGGATAGATGCACTTTTATCATCGATAGATGCACTTTTATCATGGATAGATGCACTTGTATCATGGATAGATCCACTTTTATGATGGATAGATGCACTTTTATCATGCATAGATGCACTTGTATCATGCATAGATGCACTTTTATGGACTTATAAACAGAAACGGCCATTTACTGCCATTATAAAGCTTGGAAGAGCCAGGACATTTTTTAATATAACTCCGATTGTATTCGTCTGAAAGAAGAATGTAATATACACCTAGGATGACTTGAGGGTGAGTAAATGATTTTAATTTTTGGGTGAACTAACACTTTAACAAGTACTGCAATGGGATACGTAAAACGTACAATATTTATGTAAGAAATATCGCTATTGCGTGTATTTTCGCTCACAGCAGACGGTCACTACTCTATGCATGATGACGCTGGATAACCTCCTCCTTCTGCAGTGTGTTGAACTGTGTGTTCCTGAAGGGCGCCAAGCTCTCCGAAACACTCTCCGCACCAAACACACTTGAACTGGGCTTCACGTGAGTGAACGATGCCATGCTTCGCCAAGTGTTCGCGCTGTTTAAACCCTTTGTCGCACGTGGGACACTTGAAGGGTTTCTCTCCGGTATGGACTCTCCGATGTCTCTGCAACTCGGACGAGTATTTAAAGCGCCTCTCGCAGTCGGCGCACTTCATGGGTTTCTCGCGAGCCGGGTCGCATCGGTGCTGCACGAAATCAGACGAGGATTGGAAGCGTCTGCCACAAAGCGAACACTTGAGCGGCTTTTCGGTGCAGTGCGAGTTCTGGTGACGTTGTAGCGTCGAGGACTTTTTATAGCCCTTCCCGCACACGTCGCACTTGTAGGGCTTCTCCACGGCGTTGGATCCGTTGTTCGACTCGGTGCACTTGTGCCTCAGAAGCTCTCCAGATTGTCTGAAGCCCTTTTGGCAAGCTGCACATTTAAACAGACTCTCGATCCCATGGACATGCTGGTGATACAGCAAATGGGAAGGCTGAAGGAAACCCTTGTCGCATTGGTTGCACTTGAAAGGCCGATCGGCGGGGTTTTTATGCGTACGACGGTGGCGCACAAGCGCATACTGTTGTTTAAAGCTCATCTGACACTCTTCACACTGGAAAGGCCGCTCTTCTGAGTGCGTGCGCTCGTGTTGCCGAAGATCCGACGGGCGTTTGAAGCTTTTCCCGCATGCGGTGCATCGAAACGGTCGTTCTCCGACCGGCTGGCACTGATGGTGCAACAGCTCGGATGACTCCTTGAAATGAAGCTCGCATAGATTACACTTGAAAAGATGCTCGCCGGAGTGAGCGTACATGTGGCGTACGAGATGCTGCCTGTGCTTGAAGGTCTTCTCGCAAACGGCGCATTTATAAGGGCGATCGGCGCTGTGAGTGCGCTGGTGATGTGCCAGATGAGAAGCCTGACTGAACGTCTTATCACAGGTGTCACACTTGTAGGGTTTCTCCCCCGTGTGCACTCTTTCGTGACGCGAGAGTTCGGAAAGATGGCGAAACGCCTTATTGCACACGGAGCATTTATAAGGACGATCCGAGTCTTGAAAAGCCGTCGTGGACGAGGAACCCATGGCTGCTCCGTCGCTGGACGTCTCCGCAGTTGAAGGTTGCTGAGGGTTAGAAGACGAGGAATCTGGCCGGTATGTTTTTTCACAGATCGAGCACTTCATTGGATTGTTTCCAGTGCTGTGTTCGTTATGATGTTGCGCCAGGGAGGTGAGAAGCGAGAATCCCATTTTGCACACGCCGCACACAAACGGCTTCTGCTCGACCTGGACACACTGATGCTCTAGGAGATCCGTGGCTTGGTTGAAGATCTTCATGCACTGTGTGCATTGGAAAGAACGGTCCTGGTTAACCATGCATTGGTGCTCGTGAGGATTGGCCAAGTGCGAAATATCATGGCCACATGCGCCACATTTGTGGCCACCTTCACTGCCCACCTGTAGTTGAGGTGGCGGATGCTGTTGTGCATGTTGGCCGTGTTGAGACTGTTGTAACGCAGGATCCGCTTGTAGGACTAACCCATAAGCCGCCGTGCCCAATGCATTCTCAGCCCCTTGTAGAAGAGGATGCCCGACGGGAGGAGCGGCCACTGCATGTTGCTGTTGCCATGCTTCGGTCATTCTTCCACTGTACATGTATGAATTCTGCTTTCAGGAATCAGCACTTGCACCAAAATGCACCAAAAACGTTCCAACAGGTGATGGTCAGTTCATTGGAAAAGTCATGTATGATACTAAAATGGGCTTGTAGAGGAGTTTTGGGTGAACTTGTTCATCGTTGTGTGACGGTTCAATAAGGTGATTTTTTTTTATGTTAAATACCAATCCGAGGGGAACGTCTGAAATGTTTCGCCTGGAAACTACACAGAACTGTCTCCATTTGCATACCTGTCATGAGAGAGAGAAAAAAACAGTGCGTCAGTACATAAAGCAGCTCATTCATGCAAGAATTACTTAAGACTCACAAAAAATTTATTTCCATGCATTGTCCAATTACTGGATAAGAATTTTATAAATCATAACATGAGTTTTGAGTACAATCACATTGTATCAGTGGTTATCAAACAAGGTGAATTTGAAATAAAATCGTAAAAAAATAATTAAATTGTTCCAAATCTGTATGAGTTTCTTTCTTCTGTTGAACACAACATAAGATATATTAAATAATGTTGGTAACCAGACTATTTTTTTCCAAAAAAAAAAAAAATACTTTGGAAGTCAATAAAGCCCATAAACTTTTTGGTTTCTGACACTCTTTAAAATATCTTCTTTTTGTGTTCAACAGAAGAAAGAAATTCAGGTTTGGAACAACATTAGGGTGAGTTAATGATGATAAAATTGTCCTTTTTGGGTGAACTATCCCATTAAATTAGCTAAAACCACGCTCATTCATTTATTGCATGGATGAAGAACAGAACGCCTTTAAAATGCGTAAACACAGTTCAGTTGAATGATACAATTTGCATTTTTTAATGCAGTTGAACTGAATGTACGAAGCAAACTTTGCTGAAAAAAATCCTAACAAGAAATCTTAACACTGAAATAGTTTGTCGTTGCGTTCATTACTATATTAGTGTGTGTGTGTGTGTGTGTGTGTGTGTATGTATGCATGTATGTATATATGTGTGTATATATATATATATATATATAAGTGCTGTCAAGATCGACTAATCGCATTTAAGAAAATTGTTTTTGCTTATATTATGTGTGTATGTTATTATATTTATATACAATACACACACACATATATATATATATTCATATACATCTATTTTTTATTTGACAGACCCTGAATACTGTTAATAATGATTCTGAAAAAGACTCATGCCCTTACCAGTATTTACTACACCAATCACATACAGTATAGATATATATACACACATATATATATATATATATATATCCTATATCACACGAATAACACTGATGTGATCCAACAACAAAAATGTATATATTGTTTAAAATGCATTATTAATACAACACAAATAACCATGCCATGCAATACACACAATGTAAATCTGAAGTTAAAATACACGAATTGTAGAGCCGACTGCCTGCTGGCCTTAAAAGAAAAAGAAAAATGGGAGAAATCCGGAATTCCCTTTGATGGTTTTAATTATCTGGCCAGTGCAGAATATAAGCCACGCTTTGGATATCAGAGATCCATATGCAAAGCCATATCGTAAGACATGTCGTTAAACCACCTCGCTTTTTTATTCGCAGTTTGTGTTAAAGAAAACTTCAGCTAGCTTTTGCTCGATGCAGCCAGAGCTAGCCAGCGATGCTAATGCTCTCCTCTTTCAATCTGACCTTCTGCAATCGCCACATTTACGTTACTGAGAATCACAAACAACACATGCAATAAAGACGTAATCTGCAACAATTCATAACGCGTCTGCAGATCTGCATGCAAATGATACGCAAAGCCCCATGCGAGTGTGTGTTTACCAGCACGCTAAAACTGTAACGTTAGCTATTGCGTTAAAAGAGGCTCAGCCGCACCTCGCGGGCTTTAACCTACTTTGCGTCGCGTTTTCCCCTTCGATACCTTGTTATCCCGAAGATCCACACTTGTAATAAATATATGCAGGACGTTTTAAGGCAGGGAGGAAAAATTCGGGCGCTTCCCTGCCAGCGGGATCATGCAGAAGGCCCAAATAAACGTGACGCATCGGACCTCTACGACCAGCCCCTCGATGAAGAGATGGGCGGAATCAACGCGATGGAAAATCACTGATTTTATACCAGCGAAACTGTCAAACAGCTCGTTCTGTCTGACCCTGTAAAGTAGCCTTATAATAGTCGAAATAACCAAATAGTGAAGTAAGTGTGTCTCCTCACAATGGCGTTGCACCGTGCATAGCCTATATTATGGACTGGTTTAGAGTGACCTATAGCATGTGCAATTTAGATATTGTGTATCTGAAATACATCTTTTGTCAATATTTTTGTTGCCTCCAGTTGTACTTGTACATTAGCGTTACATGTGTGTAGATCCTATCTATCTATCTATCTATCTATCTATCTATCTATCTATCTATCTATCTATCTATCTATCTATCTATCTATCTATCTATCTATCTATCTATCTATCTATCTATCTATCTATCCATCTATCTAACTGTCTATCTATCTAATTCCCATAATATTTGCAAAAGGACAAATTAGAGAAAACATTCTTTAACATTCACATAACCAAGAATTTTTTTTTAATTCTGAGAACATTCAGAAATAACGTTTTCATACCTTAACGAGGAACATTATATTTTTTTGAGGTGAATTTGAGTCCTTTTAAATTCAGTCAGTCCACTTGGTGACCATATTGGTAATTCCCCTGAGGAAGCTTCATCTTGAAGGGCAAAGGATTGAAATGTGGTGTTTTAACATCAACTTAAATCATGTGCAAATTCAACATTATGAGTATTTGATCTTTAAACCTGCAGTGTACCAAAGAAAGACAGTCTTAAAAATGCGGTTTAAACCCACCCTTGTTTTCAACCGTCACAAACATGTAACCAATCCTGTCAAAGTGTGGCCGGGGCTTTTCTCCACCGGCTTTCTATAATGTTGTTCAAAGCGTTTCTAATGATGATGGTTACTATAAGGCAGCTGACTCTGACAAAAGGGAACATGGTTTGTGTAACATTAGCAACTCATTATTAGGCTACTAGTGGTTTGATAATGCAATCAAGCCAAAGGCTAATCATATCAATACCGTTATGTGACCAACGTCATAGATAGCGATACATAAAACTCTTACCATTCTGATACATCGACTTGTAGACGATCCTGCATAATTCGCTCTTCCTCTTCTTCTTCTGAATCAGTTTCTGGTTCAAACATATTTGGCTGAATTACACCAATATTGTCACTGTGTTGCATTTAGTAAAGCTGAGCGAGTGGATCAGGTAATAATGAGTGTAGGCGGGGCTAATTTGCATATTCATGAGCCCGCGTTTACTAAATGAAGCAAGGGTGTCGAGTTATACATTCAGGCTAATTTAAAGTATGAAGAAATTATTTTTTCTTTATATTTATTTTTAAAAAAGTCATTTTGATGATCAAAGATGAGTTTTAAGGGATAAAATGAATGATTGACTTTAACTAAGATGGAACTACAGCCTCATACAAGAAAAAATTCATACAAGTAGCTCGTCTCCTCATATAATGCTTGGTGGGATCGATATAAAAACCTGCTGATTGTGTTTTTTTTTTTGAAAACCACAAGCCACAACATAACCTCAAACATTTTATTAATTTTCCACATAACTTGGAAACAATCTCATAAATCATTGCGTAAGAAAGGGCATGCTTAGGCATGCAATGATCTCACAACATGATATCACTGGATGAGTAGTATAAAATATACAATAGCAGTTTATCATTCATTAATTTAGATAATGTCAGTCAGGTCCCACTGAGAAACATAAGCTGGTATTTTTACACTGCTTTCAGTCCCAATTGTTATCTAAGTTGCTGGACAGAGAGACAGGCAGAAAATCACACAGAGTAACAGCAGAAGAGAACAGGCTAACAAACATGCTGTAAAAATCTCCACAGGCTTGGGCTCAGTTCTTAAGCCAAAACTTGATTTGTTCAAAGGTTGGGTGGGTTAGAGACAAACCGTTTCACGTGACCTCTGTATGAGCTGTCACCTGTAGTACATAACCTGCTCGCTGGGATGGTTTCTCAATTAAAAAAGGCACTCAGCATATCAATGATATCTTGCAAACTTGTTAAAATATGTTCAGTAGTATAGAATAATATATTGGAAAACAGTCTCAAACTTTATCGAGTATTAGCCGGATTACTCAACCACTGCTGCACCTCTGTTGTACTTTTATGTCATATAGCAGATGTGACATCATGTGGTGTACGAGAAAACACAGAAGTTGCTTTAGCATAGCATTGTGTCAATGATGAATGTGTTTTCGGTGCATCGAAACACGAACTACACGACTGGATTGTGCTGAAATTCAGTGATTGTTGTGAGTGTGGAAAGTATTCTGCAGGCTTGTCTGATTAGACGTGTGTGAGTTGAATGAGAATGATGAAGCCCTTGAAGATAGCTGTTACCATGTGTGTGTGTGTGTGTGTGCGTGTCAAATCTGGGTATGTAGATGAGAAAGTTGTTTTATATGGATGATGCGATGAGTGTATGCAGCGATCATATAGGGCTGTACCCTGGAATACAGTGGGAGGTGGTTATATATTAGTGTGAACTGCACCTTACATCAACTATATCATAGTACATAAAACCACAAGACCGTCTTTAATCTTCAAAATCGCGCTACTCAATAATGTCTCAGGCCTGGTGTGCATTTGAAAAGAAAAAAGGTGAAATAACCTTTTGTAACTGTGGTAAAACATATCAGACGAGCCGTATATTAAAAACCTAAATGTGCGTAATACTTCAGTTCTACAGAATATTGTAAATGGACCTTTATTGTGAATGAATGGAGGAAAAAAGTAAGCAAAGTTAACTAATGGATTATAATGGAATTATATAATAAATCGAACCATAAAAGAAGTTTACAATTTACATGGACTTGCCCAACTTACACAGACATTTACTACTGTAATTTTTGGGTTCCTTATATTAAGAAGTGGTGCTAAGTGTGCATTGTGTGCATATCTTACTCTTGATCAATGCTGTTATTGACATTCTATAGGCCATTTGATTAAATAAAGAAATGAATGAACAAAATGGCTACACCGATGTTGAGTAATATCACCAAGACCACCAGGATAGAGCTGGAGCCCTGTAGAAAGAGAGTAAAATGTTGCCATTAGAAATATGGTATTGCACATTCAAAGGCTTTTAATCACATCACCAGCTTAAACATGTTTAAACCATTAAAAAGTAGCATTTTATTTGATTTATTAAACTTAAACGTATTTAACCTAGTGCTGGGCAACGATTAATCGCATCCAAAATAAAAGTTACAAAACAATTATACACAGTACACTCACATATATTATCTAAACACAAACTTTCATTTTGGATGCATTAATCACAACTAATCGTTGCCCAGCACTAATTTAAACCATTAAAAAGTATAATTTTATTTATTTATTCCTTGTAACACTAAATGTAGCATTTCAAAAGATCAGTTTCTTAAAAGCATAGATCCATGTTAGATGCATGTGACACTGCAAATAGAATAAAAGAAAATGTATACAGAGTTTTAAGCTTTGAGTGAAACCAACCAGCACTGAAATCTGATTAACCACAACAATATATTCAGAAATAATTAAAAATGATGTTGTATTCCAAATTTAAAGTGGACATCACAAAAATGTATCCCACTAAAAGGCATTAAAGGTTTTCACAGGATGAATTTTGAGTGTTTAAGCTTTCAAATGATACGATAAAATCTGGGACACTGACAGTTAATAGGCTATATACAAAAATACAATATTATTGTTAAATATACAACTCTTGTATCTTGATAGTCAGACTGATTAAAGCATTGTGCATGTCATTCACAATGCTTTATGGGAGTGAGTGTATTTGGAGTGACTGCATTTCTATGCTGGACTCTGATTGGTGGAGCTCTCTTCTTAATTATGGGTAGTGTAGTTCTGCACCAGATACTGACTTACTAAACACAATTGTTTGAAAAATTGCATTGTGGCTTCTACAGAAGCATATATCATCACTTAAACACCTCAGAGCTCATGGTATGTGTGTTTTGAAAGGTCTATGTGGAAAATTAATGTGATTTTTATTTTTTACTACCAGAACCTTAATGTTATGTGCTCCTAAACCCTCTGGTGCTTTTCGGGCATTTTTTTTTTTACTTGATCGGAATGGTAAACTTGGTAAAGGTTTTGGCGCTTGCTGTGTGAACACAAAACAAAATCATGGACATCATTTGAAATGGTTAAATGGGCCTGAAAAAAATAGTCCCACTTGTGCTCCTCAAGGTAAAAAATGAGCGCATTCGAAATGAATGGGAGACGAATTTCATCTAGTGGAAACTTTTGGTACTGCGGACAAACAAAATCTCACTGAAAGCTCATTTTTTGAGATATCAAGCTCAAATTTGGAACACAACTTGTTTATATTTATGGCTTTGATTTTCCTGCAGTAAAACGGGTTTTTCATAAATAAAAATTGAAAATAATATTTTTGTGCATTTTTAATAACAATAAACGTACAATCCGGTAACCTTTTTAAATTTCATTTTTTTTTTACTTTTTTCCCCTCAGCAATAATCTGCCAAGTGTAATCTCTGAAAACAGATCAAACTTAAGTCTGTGCTCTACAGCGTTCAAGATTTACGACAGTTTAAGTTGGAAATGAAATTTTCAGGTCTATGCTCAGAAAGTGAATAAATGGATTTTAAATACAGTGTAAATATAATTTAGTACCATAAAATCCCCTAAAAATACAAAATATTAAATAAAAAAACATTATCGAACTAAAATGTAGTACATAAAAAAAAAAAAATCGGTCATTTTTGACCGACACGCGAAGAGTCTCAAATTCAGCTCCTGGACCTGAAGAATGAAGATCCGGCCAGCTCCAACTCACCTTCCTCAAGTTTCTAGTTATCCTGAAGACCTTGATTAGCTGGTCCAGGTGTTAAATTAGAGTTGGAGCACAAATCTGCAGGACAGTGGCCCTCCAGGAGATGAGTTTGAGACCACCCAACCCGATTTCACGGCAATTCGTACGCATTTTACAAGGTGGCTACTTCGTGTGAATTCGTACGAATAACCTACCCCTGACCCCGCCCCTAAACCTACCCGTCACGTGAGTTTAGACAAATCGCACGAATTCGTACGAATTAGTCACCTTTTAATCACTCGTACGAATTGGTCGTGAGATAGCGTTGGACCACTGGTATACAGTACAAAGTATTATACAGAACATCATCACCTTTCGTTCCCAGAGGTCATCACACTGTTTACTTACTGAGTTTGCCTTTATCAGGTTCAGATGCTCTAGTTCTTGGTCCAGTGGTTCTGGAGAAGACGTTAAAGGGGGTGAAAGAGTAATGTCCCTGTGCAAAGGCCATTCCTCCACGTCAACCCCAACATTCAAGGTGTCGAGCATCTGCACAGAGTCCATCGAACCTTCCCTGGCTGCAAGACCCCATTCTTTGCCTTCGTGGTTTCGTTGACGTAGTCTCTGCAAATTGTGCCCTTGGGGACCCGAGCATTTCGTGCCAGAGCCAAAGTTCTGTTGGGAAACGGAGTCTAGGGGCTGGAACCTCATGTCAACCCGATAATCATTTTCCCCTTCTTTCTCCTGCAGATGTGAATGGGAAGAGATCCACTGGGAATTGTTTTCAACAGTCCATTCCAGAGTGGAGTTGTTGGCTTCACGATCTGACAGCTGGTATGCATTCAAGCTAGACTCACCAATCGCATGATTAGTAAAGGACTTTCTTGGCTTGTGGTTGGAGTGGACATGCTCGTGTTGTTTGTGATAGGAGGAAACATGCTCTTGGGGGTTATAATGGTAAGAAACGTGTGGTTTTTCGTGTGCAGAAATAAACTCCTTTGGTTTGTGATTGGAGGAAGCATGCTCATTGGTCTTGTGATTGGATAAGTTATGACCGGCGGACTTGTGATTGGAATATATGTGCACCTGTGGTTTGAACTTGGAAGAGTCGCAATCAACAGACTTGTGATTGGATGGTTTATGCTCCCGTTCTTGTTTCCTGGAAATGGTATGTTCCTTGGATTTTTGATTTAAGGAAACATGCTTCTTCCAGGGCTTTTGACCGGAGGACATTTGATCCCAGACCTTCTCAGGGGCCATATGCTCAATGGGCTTGTGATTCGAGGAGCCGTTCTCCCATGGGTGATGAGCTGAGGAGTTCTCATGTCCATTTATGTGACCGATCTCCTCTTCCAGAAGGGATGGCGTTGTGGAGCGACTGCTTTCTCCTTTGCTCCCTCTTCTGTGAGGATACATCTCAGCAGTCCAGTTGTTGGCCCCAGCTCTCATGGTGTCCATGCCTCTACCTTCGACTAGAACCTGAATCTCTGCCCCTCCTTGTTCGTCCACAGCACTTTGCCGCATGAAACAAGCGTTCCTAGTGCGATGAGTAGGTGGACTGCAGGGGGGTGAGGAGGGGCTACTCAGAACCGGGCTCAGGTCAGGCGTTTGGGCCGGGGGTGTTGTGTCTGGTGTGCAGAGCTCAAGACTGTCTGTCCCAGTGGAGACCCCCTCCAGGTCTTTCTCTTTCCGGTCCTGATGCTTCGGTCTCTGGCACTCCAGTCCTAGTAAACAGAAATATAGGACATAGTCAAATTAATAATGCATTCTGAAATAATATCTCGATCTACAGAGGTGTTTTGGCAAAGTTAGATTGCCTTCACACAGAATTTTGTCGAATAATAATCAAATTATAAGCAATAGCATAAATAAATACAATGATACAATGATATATTCAGGTACAGAAATTTAATAAAGTAGGCTAATCATATGTAAAATAACACTGCATAGTCTTCACTGTATAAATGAAACATAGATTAATCCTTAGAAAATTACAAAAGTTATTCAGTCAAGAGCAGTGAGGGCTATTTTAACATTAAAAACACAGGAATATTAGGCTACTTTAAGACCGAATGCACACATCCAATATAATGATACACATGCGTTTTCTATTTTTACTGTTTATGTTCATTTAACACGTAACCGACTAATCGCAGAGATGGGCATTTTTGACATAATTTGGGTTAATTTGTCCGTTTAAGTGCAGGAAGGAATGAAAGAGAGCTCAATTTAGTATTTGCGCACTGTCTGAGACACGGCTTTCTGGGAGTGCGCTTTGGATATTTAAACATCCCACACAGCTCACGAATAATGAATCGAGCTACCTTTCCCGAGCGTCGTTCATGTTTGTTCACATTCATGTTCTCACGACAATGCAGTGCTAGAATTCATAAAAATTTTACTGGCCAACTGACGATTGACACTGTTTCATACACTCGCCAACACCGATTTTTACTCGCATTTGTTGTAGTTAACTTTTTCCCCTCTATTGACTTAATTTTACGGATTTACGTGTTTTCACTGTTACACGGGGGGGGGGGGGGGGGGGGGGGGGGGGGAGGGTGCTATTACACATCTTCTGAAAGAGTACAGAATCTCCAGATCAAAGACATGTGAAGAAAAAGCAGAAACAAGCTATAGCATATGTAAGATAACGCGATCATTAACATTAAACAACATATACCGTAAAACTTCAAATAATAGCCGAGTCCCAAATAGACGCCTGTCTCTTTTACACGCCTGGTGTGGCAGCAGGTTTGGGTAAATAAAGGCCGGTCTCAAATAGAGGCCGGGTCTGTTTTTTAGTTTCGGGTTGTATTTAATCCTCTAAAACCGCCAGATCGCCCGCTTTTTGTCGGCCGCCAAAGTAAATTTTTGTCCCTCCAAAGCCTTTTTTTGATCGATGTAGAATAGAATGACCGCTTGACAGGGCGCGTTACGAGCAGAGAGAGAGAGAGAGAGAGCGCCCCGGCCGCGCGCGCGCACTCACGTCTTCAAACAACACGAGCGCTGTCTTGCTCTCTCTCCCTCGCGCATATTAATCAAAATCAATTGACGCGATAGTAAAAGGTCGGAAGACCGCAGTTTCACGTGGAGCATTTGGAGAATTTTAGGGATTAGAGACAGGCCTATACACTCAATGAACAACATCTCAACACTAAATTATAAAGGCCTGTCCCATATAGACGCCTGTCTCAAATACAAGCCGGTGCAGTTCGACGATTTGGGTAAATAAAAGCCCGGGCTACTATTTGAAGTTTTACGGTAAATCAAAACTGCCTAATGTAACTCGTGACCCAGGACGAGTTACAGGAGCTTTAGGGGTGTTGATGGACTCGATCGACTCCATCTGTGTTTTGATCATCGTTCTGAATCCCATCCAGACGTAGGCTTTGACAAAAACGTGATTTTATCAGCTTTTTGCTCAAAATGTTAATTTTTTTTATGAAACTTGCCAACATTCAATTGTTGATAAAAAAAGAATGCATGAAGTTAGAATAAAACCGTTTTTTGTTTAAAAGCAGACTATTTGTTCTTTTTTATATATATATATTGCACGTTCAGATATTCAAAAATGCTGGGTTGTTTCAACCCAACTTTGGGTCAAATGTGGACAAACCCAGCCAGTGGGTTAATTTTTTTGATTAAAATTTTAACCCAACGTTCGGGTTTGTCCATATTTGACCTAAAATTGGGTTAAAACAACCCAGCATTTTTTAGAGTGTACAACAAAATATTCAGGGGCCATGAACTTTTGTGAAAATGATGACATGGCAACTTTTTCGAAAAACGCTGGTGGCGAAAGAGTTTAGTAAAAATACATGTAATATAGTAAGGGTCACATTCTTAAGTGCATTACAGATATCCTGCTCAATGATGCCATGTACTGTATGTTACAGAATAGTTCCCTTTCAAGGCGGTCACTTCGACATTTACGTCGATGACGTAGTATTGGAACTCCTCCCCTTCTTCACTTCTGCTGAAATCTTATGGGCTAATGCCAGCTGGAGACAGCTGGCCAATTGACGCAAAATATGCAAATACTGACACGCCTGCTGGCAGTATAAATTGCATACGCGCGTCAACCGCATCAGAATCCTTTTCTTCATGCTCAAATCGACGTGTGCTTCGAATTGGAAGATACTCTACAAAAACTCGCCATCGTCGAAGGTGCATCTAAAGATACCTCACTGTCTTTGGCATCCGATGGCATCCATCTGCAACTTGTGCTCGGGGCCTATCGTGGCGCCCGACACCCACTTGTTCTGCGTCGCCTGCATGGGCCTGGCCCACGCCGAGACGGCCCTGTCGGACGACCTCGTGTGCGCCCACTGCGCGGACATGCCAGTGAGCGCCCTTAAGGCCAGGAGAGAAACGGCTCGAGCAGCTGCAGGGATTGGGCCCACTGCCGCCAGCGAGCCGCTGGTGGGCCCACCCACCCCCAGAGAAAGGGAGCTCGACGCCGTCAGCTTCTCGGACGCTAGCTTCCGCCCCCCCCGTGACGTCGCGGATTTCATCTCCTTTGGAGCTAGCGAGGAAGAGGACGCCATGTCCCTCTCAGCGTCGGAGAAGGACTGGGGATCCCAGCAGGCCGCACCTCCCGAGCAAGGGAGCCCTGACCTCCAGGAGGAGCTCTTTAGGGTCCTTACTAAGGCCGTCGCGAGTTGGACCTTTCGTGGGACGCACTGGATGAGCCAGCTAAGAGCAAGTTGGACACGTGGTTCCTTCAGTCGAGCCGCCGTCAGGCCGCGTCGAAGGGAAAACCCCGTTTTTCCCGGACGTCCACGAACACGTGGTTAAGTCGTCCAGTCGGCGCGCACCCACTCTGCCACTCAGTCCTTGTTCGCACATGTAGACGAGGCTGTAGCCCACGGTTACGTGCGCATGCCGCCCGTCGAGGAGACCGTCGCCACTCACCTGTGCCCATCGACGTCTGCACTGGGCGCGGACCGCAGCCTGCCGTCCAATCCCTGCAGGTTCACGGCCCACCAAGCGGATAAGGCGTACGGAGCGGCAGGAGAGGCAGTATCAGCTCTCCACGCCATGGCTATTCTACAGGTGTTCCAGGCGAAGTTGCTTAAGTCCCTGGATGGCGTCGCCTCTGTTGACGCTGACGTCATCCGGGATCTCCGCTCAGCTACGGACCTTGCGCTGATGGCCACCAAACGCTCAGCGCAAGCCATCGGTCGCTCCATGGGTTTTCTGGTCGTCCTCCACAGACACCTGTGGCTGACGCTGTCTGATGTCAAGGATTCCGACCGGAAAACCTTGCTTAATGCTCCCATCACCCCAGCCGGTCTCTTTGGGAACGCGGTGGAGGCTGTCACGGAGCGTTTCTCGGAGACCCAGAAACGCGCTAAAGCCATGAGCCACGTGATCCCGCGTCGAGCGCCCCCGGCTCGTCAGCGTTCGCGCTCGTCATCGGCTACCCGGAGCCAGCCCCAGAGCTCGGTGAGACAATCGGCGGCGCCTCGCACCGAGCCGGATGCTCGCGCTTTCCGGGGCAGACAGTGGCCGGGACCCGGGAGAAAGAGCCAGGGCCAGAGAAGGAGCCCGCGCCGAGGGAAGGTCAGCGCGCCCCCTCCGCGTCAAAGCCTTCTTCCTGACGGAGCGGCCAAGAGGAAGAGAGAGCGCGAAGGAGGACCGGCCTCCAAGCGCCGTGTTCTTATGCATCGTGTCCCTCATGTTCAGTTGAGCGACGATTGCATATGTGTGAATGTTGTTTGTTCCAAAAAATTCATAAAAGCATGTATCCCTTCACAAAAAGAGCTTTTTCTTCCTCTTACACCTCACATTGTGTCACCCACCCTTTCACGAGACAGCGCAGGGTCACACTCGATGACTATAATGGCATCTCATGGGCACGAGATCGCCAGCACTACACTCAGCCCACTGCGAGCCGCACTCCCACCAGGGCTATCAGCCTCGCGGGAGTGCGGCTCCAGTCTAAACACTACACTGGGGGCGGCTATGACCGCAGTTCGAGCACGCACTCTGAGTCATTTTCTGGGTGCGTGGGAATCAATTCCGGGCATTTCACTGTGGGTGTTGGGCTTAATTCGACACGGGTATTCGCTTCAGTTCAGACGCAGACCACCCCATTTCAACGGCGTGATCCCGTCATTAACTTTGCCCCAAAACGTTCCCGTTCTGAGACAGGAAGTTCTCAGTCTGCTCGAGAAAGGAGCGATAGAACCGGTTCCCCCGAACGAGAGGGAGAGCGGTTTCTACAGCCGCTACTTTGTGGTACCCAAGAGAGGGGGGGGGTCTCCGTCCGATCCTGGACCTGAGACCCATAAACCGAGCACTTCACAAGCGCGCGTTCAAAATGACAACGTTGAAGCAGATTCTGGCGCAAGTTCGTCCCGGGGATTGGTTCGCTTCAGTGGATTTAAAGGACGCGTACTTTCATATCCAGATAGCAGCGCGCCACAGGCGCTTTCTGAGGTTTGCGTTCGAGGGCACAGCTTATCAGTACTCAGTACTCCCGTTCGGATTGGCTCTTGCCCCCCGCACCTTTTCGAAGTGTGTGGACGCGGCGCTTTCTCCCCTCAGGTCGAGCGGAATGCGCATCCTAAATTATCTGGACGATTCTAGCCCACTCGCGAGAGGTGCTAATCGGTCATGTGGAAATACTACTTCGTCACCTGGACTCGCTGGGGATGCGTGTGAACGAACAGAAAAGCGTGTTCACACCGAGTCAGACCACAACATTTCTGGGAGTGTGCTTGAACTCAATAACGATGCGAGCCCATCTCTCTCAAGAGCGCATAAAGTCTCTGACATTGTCTCTGGACCGTTTCAGACCGGGCAGGTCTGTGCCACTAAAGGAATTTCAGAGGCTGTTAGGTCTGTTGGCGGCAGCCTCCCCAGTGTGTCATCTGGGGCTGTTGCATATGCGCCCTCTTCAAATCTGGTTGAAGCTCCGAGTCCCTCAGGGGGCGTGGTCGTCCGGACTCAGGCGCATCACGGTCACCCGCAGCTGCATTCGCACTTTGGTAAAAACCCAGCATTATTCAGTTCAGGGGTTCCGATGGGCACCGTGGCGCATCGCACCGCAGTCTTGACGGATGCATCAACCTCAGGCTGGGGAGCAGTGTGCAGGGGCGCGACTGCCTCAGGCTTATGGACGGAGTCGCAGCGAAAGTGGCATATAAACCGCTTGGAATTGATGGCGGTATCCTTAGCCCTCAAAGCCTTCCGGTCACAGTTAGAGCGTCAGCATGTACTGATTCGAACCGACAACATGTCGGTGGTCTCATACATAAATCGCCAGGGAGGCGTGCGCTCCAGACTCCTATTCGAGCAGGCGGCGAGTCTCCTGCTGTGGGCAGACCGGCACCTTCTATCCGTGAGAGCAGCGCATATTCCCGGTGTTTTGAATCGCGGAGCGGATATGCTCTCGAGGAATGGGATTCCTCATGGAGAGTGGAGGCTTCACCCGGGATCGGTGCAGATGATCTGGGATCGGTTCGGGAGGGCGGAAGTCGATCTGTTCGCCTCGAGCGAGAACACGCACTGCCAGGCGTTCTTCTCGCTGTCCTGTTCCCCCTTGGGACGGACGAACGACGCCTTGACTTCGCGCTGGCCGAGAGCCAGACTTTACGCCTTTCCTCCGGTGAAGATTCTGCCTACAGTGTTATGCAAAATCAGGGAGGAGAAAGCGTCTGTGATTCTCGTAGCCCCGAACTGGGGACTCTGAATGAGCGGGACGTTCTGCACTCTCGAGCGATGAGCACTATCGCTGAGGCGCGCGCCCCATCCACTAGGCGTTTATACAAATTGAAATGGGAAGTTTTCTCTAAATGGTGCCAGGATATCAGTATTGACCCGGGTAATTGCACCGTGTCGGATATTCTACGCTTCCTTCAGCACAGGATGGATAATGGGAGTTTACCGTCCACTCTGAAGGTGTATGTGGCTGCTATTTCTGCGTTTCACCCCCCGATCGAAGGACAGTCGATCGGTAAACATGCGTTGGTGATCAGTTTTCTCAGGGGAGCTAGGAGATTATGTCCGTCACGATCGCCTTCTGTGCCGCCGTGGGATTTAGCCCTAGTATTGAGGGCTCTGTCTCTTCCACCGTTTGAGCCACTGGCTTCGATTGCGATCAAGTAGCTTTCCCTGAAAACTGCTTTGCTTCTCGCTCTTGCTTCAGCGAAACGTGTGGGGGACCTACAAGCGTTCTCGGTTCACGAGGACTGCATTCGTTTTGGACCGGGAGATTGTAATGTCACTCTTCGGCCAAGACAGGGTTACGTTCCGAAGTCACTCAGTACTCCGTTCAAAGCGCAGGTTGTTTTACTGCCGGCGTTGTCTTCTGAGTCGTAAGTCTCGCGTGATACTGATGCTCAGAGCGCTGTTTGCCCAGTCAGGGCTTTACGGATGTATATGACTCGCTCAGCTGCTTTTCGTCAATCGGATCAGCTATTTGTATGCTTTGGCGGTTGCAACAAGGGACGTGGAGTTTCGAAACAGAGGCTTGCTCACTGGATTGTAGATGCTATTGCCTTGGCTTATGATTGCCAGGGGGTGGTCTGTCCCCTCAACATTAAGGCTCATTCGATGAGGGCGATCGCCTCTTCGTGGGCCTGGTCCAGAGGTATGTCTATAAGGGACTTGTGTCTTGCTGCTGGCTGGTCTTCTCAGAATACGTTCGCCAGATTTTATAAGTTGGATGTACCTTCTATTGCGTCTCAAGTGCTTTCGGTGAGCTGAGCCTTCAGGTTGTGCATGAATGCTTGATTTATGTATTGTGCTTATGCAATAGTCGCCGCTTCGCTGCTGACGTGTATTACACTTGCTATTACTCTGTGTTGTTCTGCCCTGAATGATTCAGTGCAAGACTTCCCTCTATTCATTTGCTTGGGATATGCAAATTTTGATGAGGTTTAGAAAGCGCGCTATTGGCTCGCTTCGCCCTATCAGGAGCTCGTATTTCTAGTAGCACAGCTATTGGATGAGGGTTCTGTCATTCTCGAGTGGGTGGGTTCACTGCTCCACGGCGGGATTTGACACAGTTCCCATACTACGTCATCGACGTAAATGTCGAAGTGACTGCCTTGAAAGGAAACGTCTCCGGTTACTTTCGTAACCTCGGTTCCCTGAAAGGCAGACATTTACATCGAAGCCGTGTCGCTTGTTCATTCGAGCGTTCAGTCGTATTCTGATGCGGTTGACGCGCGTATGCAATTTATACTGCCAGCAGGCGTGTCAGTATTTGCATATTTTGCGTCAATTGGCCAGCTGTCTCCAGCTGGCGTTAGCCCATAAGATTTCAGCAGAAGTGAAGAAGGGGAGGAGTTCCCATACTACGTCATCAACGTAAATGTCTTGTTCCCTGATTTTCAGGGAACCGAGGTTACGAAAGTAACCGGAGACGATTTCTTATTTATTGATTTTTTTTGACTGACCGTTCCCATAGTGATGGAAAGAGGGGGACAGTTCTTTGGCTATAGCCCGGGCCAGACGACACTCCTCCAGGGCTCTCAGTGCGACTCCCTCTCCAGCCTCGGCCTTTCCTCGGGCGTGGCTCATCCTGCAAACAGAGCAAGAAAGTCTGGGCCAATAGCATTTGATTTCAATTTGAAGCATTTGATTTCAATTTGATGCATCCGTTCCTCCAAGGCTAAATTTAATGGTAACACTTTACAATAAGCTTCATAAGTTAACATTAGGAATTAGGAGAGCTGAGAACATGAGGAACATTAAAAAAATGGACGTAGTGTCTGTGACGTCACCCGTAGTATTTCTGAAGAGCATTTTTGAAGCCCAAAGTGGGCGGAGCCGGTCGTCGTCATCTTGGCAGCGCGTCACTCCCGGATAACCGAAAATGGGCAAAGAGGCGGATTAGCTGAGGTGACGTGACGCTAACAGACTAGTAGTGACAGCAGCAACAATCCACCTGTCACTCAAGTGGCCACGCCCTTAATTATGCAGAACTTTAAGGCTTAATATAATTTAAACGGATGAGTTATAAAAAAATGCACCCCTCTCACAGTTGTCATGAAGGGCAAAATTAGCTATATAGACCAAAACCACTTTTTGTACCAGGCTGTAAACATTTTTTTTTTCTGCTGTAAAGTTGGGCAAATTAACATGGGGGTCTATGGGATTGAGTCTCTTTTAGAGCCTGCCTCTAGTGGCTAGTCGATGAATTGCAGTTTCGTGTTGGTTTCAAGAGAGAGACTTTTTGCCAGGTTGCCGCATGGTATTAACTAACATGAACTAACAATGAACAAAACATTTGTTACAGTATTTATTAATTAATGAATTGTATTAATCTTCGTTAATGTTAGTTAATATGTTCATGTTAGTTCACAGTGCATTAACTAATGTTAACAAATACAACATTTGATTTTAATAACGTACTAGTAAATGTTGAAAATTAACATTAACTAAGATTAATAAATGCTGTAGAAGTATTGTTCATTCTTAGTTCATGTTAACTAATGAACCTCATTGTAAAGTGTTACCATTATAACCATAAGCAAGCTCGGACTGGGATTTATACAGTTGTGTCTTGCTCAAATGATCATCTCAGTAACTCTTTCTGGATCATCACACATTTTAGAGACTCTTTAGAGAGTCTTACCTGGACAATGCGATCTCTGCCTTCTGCTTGGCTATATCCGCAGCTTTCTCGGACGCTTCCACGGCACGATCCACCTTTTCCCGGATCTTGCTGGTCCGGAGTGGTATTAGGTTTTTCCGCTTGCCACTCACCAGAACATTCTGCTTGTATTTCCCCTCTTCCTTGGTTCCATCAGGAAAGGTGGTGCAACCATATCCGTGCCGCTTGTTCCCAAACCACTCACCTTCATAGTGAAGCCCATCCGAGCGATGACTTACACCCCAACCCGATCGCATGTCATTCCTCCACTCGCCAGCGTACGTTTCGGTGACAGTGGCATCTACGCTTCCCCCTGCCTCTGCTTCACCTAAACTGATGTTCGAGTTAATATCTGAGGCGGCGGAGCTGACGGTGCTCATACCGGCCTCGCTACAGAACGAGCTCTGCTTGCTTAACTGGCTCGCCAGAGAGCTTTTGGACTCGGACCTTCGCAACTTTAAACCACTGAGTATAGACTGTCGGAATCGGCCTTTCCTCTTTCTATGCCTGTCGGCTTCACTGTGAGCACAGAGTACGAAGCCACTTCGCCCCACCGGACTGCCAGATACGCCACTGACACCGGAGCCATCTTCTGGAGTCGGGGCTCCCTCGCTGTGATCGGATCGTAGGGAGTTTATGGAGGTGCACATCGGGGAGAAGATGATGGCTGCCATGCCATAAGGCACACTCTGTCTCACTCCATAACCGTGACGCATCCCGCTCAACCACTGGCCCTGGTATGTGCCTGCACAAGCAACAGAGAGCAAAGATCATATCATTATTCATATCACTTGTACAAGCCCCTTTTCATCTCCAAAAACACTAAATGACAACAACACCACTGTGCTGTCCTTATTTGACTGATTCATGTGGTCATTGTGTGCAATGGCAAAAAGCTAATTTGATTTAACATGCAATCAAGTTTAAAACATTGCAAATGTACATAGCCTGCGAAAGCAACAGAGAGCTGAACAAATAAGCATTGATGTATGGTTTTGTTAGGATAGGACAATATTTGGCAGAGATGCAACTATTTGAATATCTGGAATCTGATGGTGCAAACAAATCGAAACATTGAGAAAATCGCCTTTAAAGTTGTGCATTTATGTTCACGATTGTGCTGCATTTACTCACAAAAATAAATGTTTTATATATTTACGGTGGGAAATGTACAAAATATGTTCATAGAACACGATCTTTATTTAATATCCTAATGATTTTTGGCATAAAAGAAAAATCGATAATTTTGACCCACACAATGTATTGTTGGCTATTGCTACAAATATACCCATGTGACATGTGACTTGGGGGGGGGGGGGGGGGGGGGGGGCTATTATAGTGTTATATTCTTAAATGCCAGAAGTTAACAGGATATAAGATACCCTTTGCTTAAGTGAAAATCATGAATAAATATTAACTTAAATGCAACGTTTTTTTTGTGCTTGTGACTCTGTTATTTATATTTGTTCATTTTTTTTATGGAGGCTTAAAGCCCAAAAATGAAAGTTATCCCATAATTTATCCTAGGTGTGTATGACTTTCTTCTTTCAGCCAGACACAATCAGAATTATATATATAAAAAAATCCGGGCTCTTCCTAGCTTTATAATGGGAGTGAATGGTACCTTAGGGTTTGAAGCCCCAAAAAAGTGCATCCATAAGAGCCAGGATATTTTTTTATATATAACTCAGATTGTGTTTGGTTGAAAGAAGAAAGTCATACACACCTATGGCTTGAAGGTGAGCAAATCATGGGATATTTTTCACTTTAACCTCATTGCATCAACAAAAAGGATCCAGAGTTCATTGTTAACCTTTTAAAATAATGTCACACTGTGTTGTGACCTGTTTATACATCACTAATAAACAAGTAAAAAATATATACATTTTATATCATTTTCTGTTTAAAATAGAAATGAAATGTGCGTGCACAAACAAAAGACAGGGTGAATTTTTATTTTATATAACAGTAGTTAGTATCTTAAAATCGATAGCAACTAATTAACATTTGCAATTACTCACACTAGTTAATACACATTTATATTGACCAGTATAATATAAGAAGTGACTTGTGTTAATTGAATTCACATTTATTTGCATCACACTTTTGACAATACACATCGTTTTTAAAGCAGCTTTACAGAAAGTCCATATTAAAATTTACAGTGATCTGTTCTCAGAGGAAACTGTCTAAGTCATGCATTTCAGAAATGTAAATATACAATATCACAGTGAGCTTAAAATGTATTAATTTAAACAATGAATGTAATAATTTAAGGCAGAATCAATGAGCTCATTGAAGTAATGAATACTTTAACCGTTTAGACTTTTCACGATATTTTAGAACGTTCGAGAAAAGATGAGATTCCGTTTTCGAACGAACGTGAAGCTGTGCTTTCTTTAATACAGAGACGCGATTCCGCGAGCGACAGTAACTGTCCCGGGTGCTGAAATATTTGACACGCGTTTCTCGCTGTTGTTTGATAAAGGACAGCATCGATCGCATTCAGCTTTGGATGTAAGCAAGTCTAACCCGATCTTTCAAAAATAAAGAGGACGCCTGTCGTGTGACGCAAACATAAACGTTTTTATTTATGTTTTCGCGTGTCTAAACGACATGATTCATGCCCAAATCACAGTATACCACTCTTTTCCGCATTGATCTCAGTAGCACGTCAGGAATGATTACACAAGAATGTGAAACAGCCAAACAGCGAGCACAGAAAAGAGTCTCTAGTGACACAATGACCTGCTGACGGTCGGTTTCCATGGTGATATACTGTCCAGAGGCGTGTGTGCTGTAAATTACAGTTCATATGGTGAAATGTTATCCTTTAAAGCATGTTATTTAAGCATGCTGTAGAATATGAACTAGCAAAGCAGTCGTATCATAAGTCAGTGTTTTACACTTAAGGAGAGCTTTCTGTTGACTAATACTGAACTGCTGTTTTCTCCTTTGACTTTGTAGATGTTTATTACAACTCACATGTCATATAATTACATTTAATTATTTAGCAGACGCTTTTATCCAAAGTGACGTACAAATGAGCAGAGCAATAGCAGTTAAACTAACAATATGTGTGCCATGACCCTTCCCAGTTTAGTCTAACGCAGAATATGTATATATTTTTAAAATAGAGAAGGGAAAATATGTGTATTTGCTTATGCACATGCAAAGATAAGTGGTTTTCCATTGGTTTTGCTTCAGGCATCTGCCTAATTTAACTATCAAACGAATGTGATTGGAAGCACAGCCTTTCAGATCAACTTACAGGAATCACATCCAAAGCGACTTACAAATGAGGACTAAAGCAAGCGAGTCGTCATGAAGAGGCAAACAACCCAAGAAGTGCTCAAAATACAAAGTTTCAGATATTGCTTAGAGTAGCATAAGCCAAACGAGGGATTCAAGAAAAATGTTTATTTTTTATTTTTATGAGGTTAAGTGCTCACAGAAGAGATTTTGAATGTTTAAATGAAAAAATGCCTAGTTTTTTTTTTCAAAGCTGAAATTTATTTATTTGTGTGCACCGATATATGGATAGTTTCCACAAGTCAGCACTGCTAGAAATAATTGAACTATCAAATGAATGTGATTGGAAGCACAGCGGTTCAGATCAACTTATAGGAATCATCGTGTATACGCCTATTTATATATGGTTAGTATAGCATTGCTATAGAGGATGCCATTGGATTCTCACCTCCATCCGAGTAGGTCTCCGATCCATATCCGTCTTGTAATCCATTGCTCCAGGTGCCTTCGTATCGGGAACCACTAGTGCTTTCCAACTTCCCATACCTTCCCTTGAACCCTTGTGTCCATTCGCCCTTATACTCCCACCTCCCTTTGCTCTCCACGCCAATGCCATGCCTCTTTCCCTGAGCCCAGGTTCCTCTGTAACTGTTCCCACTGGGCCAAGTGTAAACTCCAAGAACTTCGAACCCATGGCTCCAGGCTCCGGCGTATTCCCCCTGTCCCTGTGGGCCCGTACAAACCCCTCGGCCGTGAGCCTTGCCCTGTTCCCACCCTCCACAGTACGACCCCCCATCATCAAAGTCAAACCTGCCTCCAGTGGACATGCATGAAACAGGTTTAGCCAAATCTTGTGGAAAGATGCACGAAAGAAAGGAAGACTTAGATGAACCAGGCAGAAAGTGTTGCCCCAATATTCCTCAAGTAGATTTTGTGTGCATCGGGAAAAAAGCAGTTCATGCGTTTTTAAAGGGGTTAAAAAAAGATTCTAGGCTATACCATCCTAATGTTATAGCTCCTGCCGGTTTGTGCACGGCCTTTGGTAATGGACGTCTTTATTGTGCATGCTAACGGGAAAGCAGATGGCGAGCTTCTCCCTTCTTCTCCGCTCGTTCCCAACAGGCTGAGACACACAGCCTCGATCGTGGAGATCAGCAGGCAAACAAGGCCTAGTTATTTTCCACAGCCGAAAAGATCCACACAGCAGCAGCAGCATTGATACACTCAATCAGACATTACACGGCCCCCAAACACACCGCTCTCAGAAATACAGGAATACAAGAGAGCATCTGAAGACTCGAAGCACGGATGCTGTCACGGCCTTCCCTCTAGATCATGTTTTTGACAGCATTTCCTCGCTTATGTGTTAAATAAGATCAATCTGACACAGAATTTTCCCAAATGCTGCCCGATCTCGCTCTCTTTTCCCTTCTGCGGTGTAGAGGTGAAGCTTCTTTCCTGGAAGACTGGATAAAAGCGTCAAAAATCAGTTTAGTCCTGGTCTTTGGTCCTCTCCTTCATGTTCACGTGCATATTTTAAAGGTGTGTATCCATGATGGTCTGAAGCCATATGATGCTGAGTGTCTGTAGAATATGCTCATTACAGGACTGTTCCACCCCAACCCGTTCCCCTCCCCCACTCGTGCTCTCCTCGCTCTTCTTAAAGGGATAGAGGCGAAGAAACTCATATGCATACAATGGCTTGCCTAATTATCCATTTCCCTTATGACACTCTCTACATAACAGTATAATGCAATTAGTTTTTCAGCCCTTCACCAAATATTACATTAGAAATGCAAGTGTATTGTAGAATCTCATGGCATTTGAAATGCAATAACCGGTGCATAATTGCATAAAAATATCCGATGTAACACTCAGCACGCGTAACCCGAGTTAAAGCGAACCCCTAAAGAGAGAAAGGACTATTTACGGTTACACTTTACGTGTAATTATACATTTAATACTGAGTAATAATAATTAACAACATGTACTTACTATAGGGTTAGGACTAAGGTTTGGGGTTAATTGCATGTAATAATGCATAATTTACTCTTATGGTAAGTACATGTAACATATGTAACAAGGACACTGTAAAATAAAGTTACCCTATTTTCTTATTTTGTTTTGTTCAATAATGTTTTTATCTTATTTATATACATTTTAGATTAAATATAAAACAGCTGGATAAACTGTGACATGCACAGTTATGACTTAAACCTCATTTACTGGTATTAATGCATTCTAGGGTGTCATTTTTAAGAAAAATTAGTAAATACGAAATGAAGTACAGCGCTTTTTTCTGTAACTTTTTTGTTTCAAAGATAAGTTCACCTTCATCAGACAAAAAATATTATATGTATTTTGGATCAGTTTCAAATTTATGCTCATGGGAACCAATATTGAAATGTTATACTATATGTATATGCCGAAACAGCACTAAAAATAAAATGATTAAAGAGCCTCTAAAATGCCATTTTGACTGCATGTTGTTGACTGGCAAAGTAGGTCGTTTGCGTGAGAACAAAATATCGGATTATTTGACATTGGGCTTTCAATCAATGTATTCTTGCCTCACTTGACTTCTATATATGATTGGGAGAGCTTTCACATGGGTGAGACTTTGCAACAAACACCCAATGACTGATCAAATATCTGACATGCAGGCAAATGGACACAGAGGGCTTGGCATTAATCTTTGTCATTAGAAACTGAAAATATCCTTATGTAGCTTGATAATGACCATTTGGTAGTAGTTAATATATATATATATATATATATATATATAACAAGTAAAAAAAAAAAGTCTCCTAAGTTAGTGGAAATTCTTGGCATAAAGAACAAAAAATCAGAATAATCAGAATCCAAAATTCTTTCTCAAATTCTTTCTGGTTGTGAATAAAACAAATGGTTCAAATAAAGTCAGTTTTGGTTTGTAATGGATCAGGCTTACAGACCAAATTTGAATCTGTATTGGTTTATTCAAATGGTAGCTATAATTCAAATCTGGGGTTGATAAGAAAATTGATAATAAAATTAAAACAACCAGTTAAATCCTAAAAAGTCATCAAAAGACTTAAAAGTATTTGCTTAAAGGGATAGTTTAGCCAAAAATGAGAAATCTGCAATCATTTCCTCACCTGCATGTAGTTCCATGACTTTTTGTTGACGGTTTTGTTGACTATCAACTTCCACTGTATGGATGAATAATATTTGAGTATGTTTTTTTTAAACAGAAGAAAAAACTGTCATACAGGTTAAGAAGGGCATGAGGGTGAATTAATGAAGAATTTTTATATTTAGGTGAACTATCCCTTTAAGCAAAAACACAATGAAAATCTGCAGTTGCTCCACCTGGTGTTGCAGAGGGGACTTACAGGCTCCAGTTTGCAATAAACTAGAACAGGTTAAATGGGAACAGCATTTGATACTGCCCTGAAATCCTCAAGAATATTAATGGTTACCTCGACCAGGCTGAAACCAATGTTTATACACTACTGAAACTCTCCATTGAAAATATTTGTTCTCTACACTCAGTAAATTGATACTACACATTAGTGGCCTTGGTTTTAAGGCCACTAATGGGGGTTGGGCGAAATAATCAAATATTTATCACAGTTTTCTCAATGATATACATCACAAAAAAATTAAAGGTCCTTCTACTTAAAATGTCCAGCACAGCCCATCACATTTCAATGATTATCTTTTATTTGGACAATTATGTACATTACACTGAAACAAATATATATATAAAAAATATGTATATTTATTGGTGTAACAGTGGTGGCTGTGGCAATGTGACCAAAAGTGCAAATCTTAAAGGTGCAGAAATTTTGTGAATATCTGCTCATGATGGGTAGGTATCCCCTCATGACACTCAAATAGGGGGCGTATCCCCTCATGACGCTCAAATAGGGGGCGTATCCCCTCAAGGCGCTCAAATAGGGTGCGTATCACTCATGATGCTCAAATAGGGGGCGCATCCCCTCATGATTCTCAAATAGGGTGCGTATCCCTTCATGATGCTCAAATAGGGGGCAGATCCCCTCATGATGCTCAAATAGGGGGCGCATCCCCTCATGATGCTCAAATAGGGGGCGCATCCCCTCATGACGCTCAAATAGGGGGCAGATCCCCTCATGATGCTCAAATAGGGGGCGCCTCCCCTCACGATGCTCAAATAGGGGGCGCATCCCCTCATGATGCTCAAATAGGGGGCTCATGATGCTCAAATAGGGGGCGCATCCCCTCATGATGCTCAAATAGGGGGCGCCTCCCCTCATGATGCTCAAATAGGGGGCGCATCCCCTCATGATGCTCAAATAGGGGGCACATCCCCTTATGATGCTCAAATAGGGGGCGCATCCCCTCATGATGCTCAAATAGGGGGCGCATCCCCTCATGATGCTCAAATAGGGGGAGTATCCCCTCATGATGCTCAAATAGGGGGTGCATCCCCTCATGATGCTCAAATGGGGGCATATCCCCTCATGATGCTCAAATAGGGGGCATATCCCCTCATGATGCTCAAATAGGGGGCGCATCCCCTCATGATGTATCCCCTCATGATGCTCAAATAGCGGGCACATCCCCTCATGATGCTCAAATAGGGGGCGCATCCCCTCATGATGCTCAAATAGAGGGCGCATCCCCTCATGATGCTCAAATAGGGGGCGCATCCCCTCATGATGCTCAAATAGGGGGATGCGCCCCCTCATGATGCTCAAATAGGGAGCACATCCCCTCATGATGCTCAAATAGGGGGCGCATCCCCTCATGATGCTCAAATAGGGGACGCATCCCCTCACGATGCTCAAATAGGGGGCGTATCCCCTCACGATGCTCAAATAGGGGGCGCATCCCCTCACGATGCTCAAATAGGGGGCGCATCCCCTCATGATGCTCAAATAGGGGGGCATCCCCTCATGATGCTCAAATAGGGGACGCATCCCCTCTAGATGCTCAAATAGGGGGCGTATCCCCTCATGATGCTCAAATAGGGGGCGCATCCCCTCACAATGCTTAAATAGGTGACATATATCCCCTCATGACGCTCAAATAGGGGGCGTATCCCCTCATGATGCTCAAATAGGTGACATATATCCCCTCATGATGCTCAAATAGGTGGCATATATCCCCTCATGATGCTCAAATAGGGGGCACATCCCCTCATGATGCTCAAATAGGTGGCATATATCCCCTCATGATGCTCAAATAGGGGGCGCATCCCCTCATGATGCTCAAATAGGGGGCGCATCCCCTTATGATGCTCAAATAGGGGGTGCATCCCCTCATGATGCTCAAATAGGGGGCGCATCCCCTTATGATGCTCAAATAGGGGGCACATCCCCTCATGATGCTCAAATAGGGGGCGAATCCCCTCATGATGCTCAAATAGGGGGCGTATCCCCTCATGATGCTCAAAAGGGGGCATATCCCCTCATGATGCTCAAATAGGGGGCGCATCCCCTCATGATGTATCCCCTCATGATGCTCAAATAGGGGGCGCATCCCCTCATGATGCTCAAATAGGGGGCGCATCCCATCATGATGCTCAAATAGGGGGCGCATCTCCTCATGATGCTCAAATAGGGGGCGCATCCCCTCATGATGCTCAAATAGGGGGCGTATCCCCTCACGATGCTCAAATAGGGGGCGCATCCCCTCATGATGCTCAAATAGGGGACGCATCCCCTCAAGATGCTCAAATAGGGGGCGTATCCCCTCAAGATGCTCAAATAGGGGGCGCATCCCCTCACGATGCTCAAATAGGGGGCGCATCCCCTCATGATGCTCAAATAGGTGGCATATATCCCCTCATGATGCTCAAATAGGGGGCGCATTCCCTCATGATGCTCAAATAGGGGGCGCATC